TCCAGTCATCATTTCTAAATTAGGCTCCTATAACACAAGCAGTAGTGACAGGATCCCAGCCATCATCCAAAAGAAATGTGCTCCTGAGCTGGCTCCAGCTCTCTCCAAACTCTATAACTAGTTCCTGTTTTTAAAAACTCTGGAGAACCTTCTGACCCCACTATTGCCCTATTAGTCTTCTACTGCTTTTCAGCAAAGTATTCAAGGCTTTAATCAATGTTGAAGTGGTTAAACATTTTACCTCTCAATTCCTATTCTCTGACAAGCAATATGGCTTCCATTTTGCCAGGTCTACCACTGATGTGATAATGGCCATTACTGAATATATATATCAAGCCCTTGAAAATAATGGTGACGCTTGAGCCGTGGCTATAGATATTTTGAAGGCGTTTAACATGCAGGTCTTCTACATAAGCTCCAAGATTACAGTATTACCGGACAATTGATTTAATCCAACCGTTCCTATCAAATTGTGAAATAAAAGCCATTTTGAATGGGCTCACTTCCACATCCTTTCACACAAATGCGGGTGTCCCCTAAGGCTCTATCCTGGGTCCTATGCTGTTTCTGATCTTCATCAATGATCTTCCTGATGCCATCAGTTCCCAAGTAGGCATTTATGCTGATGACACTACCATTTACTCCTATCTCAATAGCAAATCTGTCACAGCTAACAAAGTTAACCTGGCTGCTGCTCTTAAAAAGGACCTCCAACCTGCGATTAACTGGGACAGGAAATGGCTCGTAAATTTTAATGACTCCAAAATGAAACCACTCTCATTTAACCACCATAGAGAATCTTTCCTGCCCACCATCAACATGGTTGATGCTAGACTCATAGTAAGCAACAACACTGCACCTTCTTGGCCTCATGTTTTCAACTGACTTGAAGTAGAACAAACAACTACATCAAGTCAATAGCTGCATCTACTGCAAGGAAAGTTGGATCACAGTATTGTGCCTGAAGGTTTTTCTCATCAGTGTCCATCTTGCACATTTACAAATTTACCATTCATCTATGCATTGAATATTTTTGTCATATCTGGTCTGGTGCTCCTGCTACTCATCTTGAGGTTTTTGATAAAATCTAAAGAAGGATCTGCAATGTAATCGATCCTGACTTGGCACCCCAACATCAGTCATTTTCTCATTGACGTGATGTGGCTTCCCTCTGTCTTTTCTACAAATATTTTCATGGCAACTGCTCTGACAAAATTTTTTCCACTGGTGCCTGGACTAGATGAATTTAAGCATGCTACTAGATTGGCATCTAGACCCCACCTTTTTACTGTTGAATTAGTTAAATGTAACTGCCACTTATACTTTAACAGTTTATTTTCGTGCACTCCCTGACAGTGAAACTCCCTTCCGTTTCTATGCTTCCCTGGTAACTACAATCTTCAAAAAATTTAAATGCAACATCAATTTCCAGCTATCTTCTTGAACCCCATTTAGCTTTTATCCTTTCCTTGGTCCCCACTATATCCAGTTTTTTCTCTTGCCTTCACTCTCTGTAACCCCCTGTGTACCAGTGGCATTTCCACCTTTGCTTGGGTTGAAATGATTTAAAAAATAAAAAAAATGCAGCGTCAGACCAAATGTTGCAGCAATATTCAATGTGTGGTAGACTTATAAATGTGTAAGATAGATTCAGGCAATAAAAATTATCTAGCACAACTCAGTGAATCAACTTTCCTAGCAGCAGACCTAGCATTTGATTCAATATAAACTTTTCACTTGATGTTAGCAAAAAATGTTAGTCAGGGATCAGACAGGCTTGTATTTATAATGGCAGATCTTTTGACAGACTAATTAGCTCACAACTAGTAACTAGCATATCTGTTGTTAAACATCTGCTACCCAGCTGTGATTACATTGTGTCAAACCAATATGCAGTTATCATTGCTGCACTATTCATTACACTATGACTGCAACAATACTGGCCCCTACAGTCAATATTAACAAATTCAAAAGATCCTGCATTTCCAGTGCTAACACAAGTGAGGACTGGGTTACAGAGCGATATATATATATATATATATAGATATATATATATATATATATATATATATATATATATATATGTGTGTGTATTGATGCCAAAAAGATTACTAGTTGTGACATGGTTATCCAACTATGAGAATGTTGCAACAAGCCACTATGAAAAAACCTCACACATTCAATTGTAGGTAGTTTGACCTTAAAACCCAAAGGTGAGCTACTTGATGCTATTAAAAACTGGTAGCTAAAGAAGAAAACATTATGGTGGCTATGGTTGCACTGTACAGTATGCCAGGATCATGATGTAGCCATTTGAAGCTTTGGTGCCAACCTCCATGGTCAAGCAGGCATCTGCAAATTCTCCCTGAAGTGAGATTCCAATGGCAACTACATGGAGATCATCTGGGATGCACTGACTAGGGGCATAACATAAAAGAGTGGACATTGAGGTCAATACCCAGCGGCATGAAACAGACTGTTGCTCTTGGGTGTTGAACTCCAATATCTACTCTTATATGTAATGTGTTGTGACTGGTTTGAAATGTAATATTGTTGGGTGTGTGTTGCTTTGCTTTAAAGTAGATGATCTCCAATATCTGGAAGTTCTTTTTACTGTGTGTATGTGTGAGTGTTATTGTGTTAATACTCACACATATACAGTTAAAAAGAACCTTCAGATATTGGAGGCATTCAACATTAAAACAAAGCAACTCACACTTAACAAAATTACATTTCAAACTAGTCACAACACATTACATTGCATCTAATCATTGGTTCTGTCTTGAACTTACAATCTGCGTCTGCTATTCCACGACCGTTAATGTTACATAGCAATCTATGTCAAAATAACATCTTTGATGGTGGATATCTTTTTTTCATGTCTGTATAATCACTCTGAGGATGGCTCATGTAAGCCGAAAGCTTAGGACCAAGTTAAAAAAAATATCCAAATGTTAGATAATTTGTTTTTATTTTCACCAGAAATTAAAGCAAACATTCCAACGGCTCATGATCAGACATAATAGACATTCAATATCTGTTATATTTCTGCTGCCTCAATGCAATATATATATATATATATATATATATATATACACACAGCTGAAATTACTTGAACTACTCAATGTCACAAACCAGGAATTATCCTTGGAAAAGACGTTCCAGTTCATTGAAGCAAATGAATCTGGTCAGTGTCACAACTACCAGACTCACAAGGGTTTGGAAGCTGCCAAGAACACAACCTAAAGTCCTGACAAAATATCCACCCCATCACCTACATCAAACCAAACACCAGAAGAACCTGGCAGGCAAAGATACCCACCTACATGGACATTGGAATATAACATGTGAATTGAAAAGTTACCAATTACCATAAATAGCCTTTTGTGATAGTTGGACACATTCAACTTAAAAGATTTACAACACGACGAAAAGGCTCATGTTTAGAAATCATTTTTTTTCTAATATTTAAGCACTCCAAACAACAAAAAAATTCATAGAAGTTAATGAGGTGGGGATACAGTTTTTTGCAATGTATTGTACGAAGCCAAAACAAAATATGCTCTTGCTCAACTCATATCATGTGACGTGATGTGATTTTTTAATTTCTTACTAACGATTAGACAATCCGTCATTTACGGTATTTCAAAAAAAAAAAAAGAAAATACTTCGTTAAATTTTAAGAAATCACGTAAGAAGCTCAATCAAGTATATTTTGTTTTGACATCCGTAGGGGAATCAATGTGTACAAAGAATTTACATTGTAAATTGGACCCCAGTATTTAATTTTATTTAAATATATACGTGGATAATGGTAATAATAATAATGAAAAACACAATTACTTTTTAGTTAATTATAATTTGTACAAATTTAAACCAAGATTTCTAATCACATTCGAACATTCTAAGTTGTTTTTTCAAAAATGCCTATCTCCAAATTCAAAAGAATGAAGCCTCAGATTGAATAGGAGTGTTATCTCATCTTCATTACCATATTCACAACGTTTCGGCCGTTGTACGCTCCGGCCTTATTCAGGTGATTGGAAGGCCGGAGCGTACAACGGCCGAAACGACGTGAATATAGCAATGAAGATGAGGATAACAGTCCGAATAATTGAATAATGTAAGTAATCTGAATCATTACCTCATCTCAGAGATACAGACAGATACTCAGAATAGGAGTTTTTACTTTGAGAAGTTTGGAAAATAAGTGTTTGGTATGCGTAATTTGTGTGAAATGCTGAACTTAATCTCCAATCCATCATTTTCCTAAAAAAAAAAAAAATACACACACACACATCTTTTTAAAAGCAAGTAATAAAATAAAAAAAAACAATCGAATAACGTCAAGCAAGTTATATTTTCTTGCGAGATGGACAAGAAGCACCACCCAATCTCAACTCCAGACCTAACATTTATCATTTGTCTTATCAACCTACACCACGGCGAATACTTTTTTTTTTACATCAACACAATTCTTTTGGGATTTATTTACGATAGTTAAAAAAGAACATATTCCAGAACTGGGCATAAACTCCATCCGGTCGGGCGTGGCAAGTATATCATAATAAATAATCAATACTGACATTTTTCCACCAAAAAAGTCAGATGGTGTTGAATAATATTGATTGCTACTGTGGCCTTGAGGTTGCAGCCGCGAAAGTTACTTTATAAAAAAAAAAAACTTTTTGTTTATGAAAAATGAAAAAAAATTTAAGAACCGTAATTTTTTTTTTTTTTTGCTGACACACACTTAAAAGAGTATTCCGAATATTAATCTATTTGAGCCCAGGTTTTTACAATAAAACGTTGACAACGTTAACAGAACAAGTTAAAAACTTTAATCAACCAGCCAGAAGTAGTAAAACTAAGTAAATAAACTAAACACTTGAAAAACTGTATGCTTTTTTTTCTTGGGAGGAGGATGTAAGCGAGAACATAGCTTTCCGAAACCGGACGAAAACTCGTAATAAAAGTTCAGAATAAATAAATCAGCTTACTATGGAAGCTGGTAATTGGTCCCTGAGGAAAACAAGTCTGGATATATCGAGTACTCTTCAACAGCTTATAAGATACCATCCGATAGCATTGATAAAACATTTTGAACTGACCATGCCACTGACAGGAACCGGAAACTAATCCTAACCTTCAAAGTTAATCTAAATTTGATTAGATAAAATATAACCGTGTTTGTTACGTAGTCGTTGATTGGGTGATCACAAAAGAGCTTTACTTTGATTGGTTGACGGTTCAGACAAGCATATTTTTCAAACTTGTCGAAGCAGATTATCAAGTCTCGTTAAAAAAAAGAAAAACAACTAAAAAAAACAAAAAAAAACTAACTTTCTTGTATCTGATTTACTACTCGTTTCTGAATTTGAATCAGTTATTTAAAAAAAAAATATTTTTTAATTGTTTTGTTTACTCAAGTTATTGTTAATGGCGTCCCAAAATCGTGATCCGACTGCCAGTGCCACTACAAGAAAGGAGCCCACTAATACTACGGCCAAAGACAACCACTCCGTCAGCAAAAGGTCAATTTTTTTTTACGATGTTTTTTTCTTTTGCTCCCCTTCAATTTAAAAAAAATGTATATTCTACTAAATGCTTTTAATTATCTATATTAAAAGAAAGAAAGAAACGTAAAACAATAGGTCTTTTTACCTTAGCGAAATGACAGCGTTGAATTTAAAACTTACCGAGAAGTTTAAAATGTTAGTAAAAACAAAGTTTTTAAAGCTTTTTTTTTTTTTTTTAATTTTTCCTACCATAAACTTCGATTACTTTTTTCTTCTCATTTTTTCTTTTTATTGACTTTTTAAAGATTCGCTTTCATCAACAACCCATTTTAACCAAAATTAATAACGTACTTCAATTTTTTTGTTAAGAAATTAAAAAAAGATTGAAATTTTTATATATAAAAAAAGCTCTACCGTAAACGAATCTGACAATGACATTTTTTGACTTGCTCTTTTAACGATTCTAATTTTATTTTGTACGCTATTTTTACTTAAAAATGTATAATTTTCTAAATTTTTTGTGTAACAACCTTTGCGATACATTTCTTACATTCTCTAATTTAAATTTCGGGGAAGTTACAATAACGGTCGATAATTGGATTAATTAATAGACCTCTTTCACTTTTTAACTGGATATTCATATTTCTAAATGAAAATAGATGCAATATCAAAATCACGAATTTTCTTTTTTTTTTTTATATAACTATTTTTAGTTTCTCTGATTTGATTCTTTTTTGTTTTTTATTTAGAAGTTTGCGTAAGTACAGTAACGATCCAAGATTTGAAAACTACGTTAGGCGATGAAGAAATTTTAAATGTCTAAAAGAAAAAAACTAAAAAAGACTTCTGTTTTTCTTTTTCCCCGAATACAGTTAGAATGCCTAGCCTAATCTGTTGATTATACATTTTTCTTTAATCTTTTTTAACAACGTTTAAAAATATATTAAGAAAGAAAATTAATATATTTCATTTCTTTTTCCACTCAACATCAACCAGAACATCTTTTGCTATTGTTAATTTTAGCATCGTAGCTGGCGTTGACACTATGCTTTGTAAAATTTTTTAATTAAAAAGAAATTCGCTAAAACAAAAAAATAATATAATTTTTATGCCACCCTCTAAAATTGATTACTAAATGTGAAAGCCAAACTTGGTTTGATTTTAAAAAGTTTGTCAAAGGAGTGTTAGACCACAACAAAAAAAAAAAAAAAAAAAAATCGAGGTCATATCTACAGCTGACTTGACTCCAGCGCTAAGCTTATTGGTCGGCAAGATTTTGAGTTTTCGAAAGAGCGGGTTTTCAATTTCATGAAGCTGGCAAATTGCTCACAATGGGAAGAGAAGAGAAAAGCTAAAATTGAAATGCTTATGGATTTTCCCCACCACCCGTCTCCTCATCTGCTGCTTGTTCATACTGCCACTTCATTATCGGTGAAACTTTAACAAAAACTTTTTTACGATGTCATCTTAAACGATAAATTTTTAAATTGATAAAAAAAATTTATCAAACTGCATTTCGTTGCAATATACTTTTGTTTCATCTTTCATAAAGTATGTGGAGGCTCCTTTTTTAGTCACTTGATTACTGGAGTTAGTCCCTGAAGATGCGAAGGTAAATCATTCTCTCTAGTCTAACAAAAAAACAAAGAAAAACTTATTTTTTTTTTTTTATATATTCAGTAATGTGGCTAAGATAATTATTAATTTCTTTATGCAGTTATTATCTCCCAACTAGTGTTGTACTTGTAGTGTAAAAAACTATTCCCTGAGTTCATTTACTCATTATTGCACTTTACTTTACAGACTCCAGCAGGAATTAATGGTCCTTTTGGTAAGTTTGTTTATTATTATTATGGTCCTTTTTAGTTTATTTTTTTTTACTAATTTCACAATAAAGGGGCCCAAGTGCCACTCCAGGTAGCGGGTTATTGAATGAGGTTATATGAATGTAAGAGGAGTGTTAGGGAAAGATTCCAGGAGTCACCGTTTATTGAATAAAAAATGAGAGGAAAGGAAAGTTTGCATGTTCATATAAAATGATGATATCCATTTAATGTAAAATACACAAATTCTTATCTGTAATTACTATCACAAAATAAAAGTTTGTATTCAGAAAGTTCTCTGGCTGAAATGGAAATGAACCTAGTCTTTCACTGAGGAAGAGAAAAAGTGGAGTTGTGTGACAAGATCAAAGGGAGTTTGCTGTTGATTTGGTGAGAAAGACAGAACAACAAGGTTGACTTGTTTCTCTTTACTGTTGTTTCTCTTTCTGCCAAGGTGAATGGATGTCTGATTTATATGGCATTGTGTAGGCTGCAGAAGCATATGTTTATTTATTGGCTGGAGCTGATTTTATTGGCTTTTTTTTTTTTTTTTTTTTTTTATTAATTTGAAATATTTTTGAAACCTGAAGGCTGCACAGTGTGTTTATTTTTGTCATTTGATTTGAAACTGTTAATCCTAGACTTTAAGAAGTTACGATTGTAGTGACTGGGAAAGCTTTCTCTATGGAACCTGTTCTACAAAGTAGCGGTTCTTTGGGAAGAAGCTGTTTGAGTGGAAGTGTCAACATTGTTTGCTCTATAATATAATAAAACTCGCAACACTGCCAATTCACATATTGATCCTTCTTAATTATTTCCAGTGAATAATTGCAAATCTTACATAAGTTAGATTTGTTTTTAGAAGCTAATACCTAATTCATGACACTTCTCCAGGTGTGTTGTATACATTGTCTAGTTGGAAATTTTCTGCCTCTAAATTAAAATCGTCATCAAGAAAAGTTTCTTTTGTAACTGTTTTCTTTACAAACATTAAAGATGATTGAAAAGAAATTGCTTATTGCAGTTAAGTTCAGAACTGGATTTAACTGATCAATTGGAAAACCAGTTATTAACTGCCAAAACAAATTGTGGATATACTGTTCAGCTAAGTTCTTGTGATAGTTTTGTTGCCATTCATTAAATAAAAATGAAGTTTGGGAAAGTAATCTCTCTTCTGGGAATAAGAATGGTGATCAAAATGTACCTTTCATGTTTGTATCTGAGAAAATGTTCTTTGCTTCATTCAATCACTCTGGAGAGTCAATAAGAGATCAACTTAATTTAGCCTTATGTGCCGACTCAAAAATTTGAGGTATTTTTTTTTTCTTTTTTTTCTTTTATATCGTTATTAACCTTTAGCTCTCTGTAGGTTACTATTTTTTGCTAAGCAAAATGTCAGTCTTGCCAATGCAAGTTGATTTTTGTTTTGTTGTGTAGTCATAACATTTCATGGCAACACCTAAAACAATCTTTACTGAAATTGAGAGCAGGGCTGCTGCTATTTCAAATCTATAGAACGCTATATTTTGAGGGGATTCCATATACAGGCAAAGGGGAAAATAATATAAATGATGCAGTGTGCAAAATGTTTAAAAAAAAAAAAAAAAAAATTCAACTGGTTTTGAACATTTTGGCCTGAAATTACAGTTGCATTTACATGAGCAGAAACAAATCCACTGATCAGGAGATTGGAGGCTTTGAGGAGCATGGAATGACTTCATAATTTCTATTGTTCCCAGGTCCACATTGTTAAGGCTCCAACTATGGGTGAATAGTGAACATTTCAAACCAAACTCTATGAAAGTATAAAAATACATTTTGCTAGTAAAACAACTAGCAATACAATTTTAAAGCAAAATGACGAATACATTTTATCTGTGGTTGAAGGTATGCTGTTTGTTCAAAATATTTAGATTTCAGCATTAAATAACCCATAGAGGTTGATATGCTGCTAAACAAAATCAAACAACCAACATTAAAGAACTATTTCATAACACTAATCCATATAATATCCTACAATCTCTTAAATCAAACTGTATTCCAAAAATATAACTTCAGCAAAACTAAAACATAAAATACACAGATCACTGCCTCTAGTAATTATGTCCACACAAATCTGTATATGCACAAAAGCTGAGTATCATCTACCATTTACTCAATTGTGAAAGCAGAATAACATTTTTATTGCTTCAAAGCTCTCAAGAAAACTAGCATTAAATAACCTATAAGGAGTTGATGTGCTGTTAAACAACAGGATGTGTTGTATATTGAGTATTTAAGGTTGCAATACTTGGAGCGACAGTAACTAAATGATTTTTTGTGGGAGGAAGTTGTGAAGTATTTCTCTCATCTTGAGTTGGATTCAGTTTGTATATTTTCCATGTTAAAGTGGAAAGGATAGATGACCTGCACGTTTAATAGATCAAGCATTAACTCTTATTCATTTTTGACAAACATTTCCTTCATTTTAATTTCAATTATTTTTCATCACAATTATTCATACCATTAACCTTTGGCCAGTAGTAAACTGTGCTGATAAAGGTTATTTTTGATCTGTACAATTTACTGATGGCCGTTGACTAATGGTTTGAGAAGTTGTAATGAAAAGCAACAGAAATGAGAAAAACTAACATTGGTTAATCATAGTCACATCTTGTCAATATTTTTTTTTTCTTTCAGTCGTCACAGGACAACCGTGTATCAGCTTTTCCTGATGGAGATAATCTTTTCAGATGGATTGGAACAATTGAAGGTGCTCCTGGAACAGTAAGTAATTAGATGCTTTTTGTTTTTGTCTTTTGATTGTTACCATTTTTAAATGTTAGAACCTTTTGCTATATGAATAAAAGTCTTGGCTTTGCTACTTGTGTGTTCAAGATGTGTTCACAGAAACAATGTTTGATTTGAACAATATTCTAAACATCGGATAGTGTTCAGGTCTCCTTTTAGAACTTCTTCTGGTTGGCTTCTAGAGAAATCTAGACCTTGCAAGCTACTTAGCTATATAGGTTAACTGATTACCTAACCAGTTTTAATTCAGACAAAGGAGGCTAATTTAATTGTATTAAAAGAGAAATGAAAATCTTTGGTATAGTTGGAGGTTCTTTTTATCAAATGTCACTTTCCGTGTTTTTTTAATATGAAGCATAAGTATTTTCCTCTCTAATCAATAGCATTCACATCAATAGATGAAAGAAATTTTTCTATTTAAAAATACTTTGAAATGTGTGTTTTTGTAGGCTGTATAATATCTGAAACAAAAGTGACGATAGGCAAAATTGAAAATTTATTAACAGGGTTTGCCAGAGTGTCTGTTTCCTTTAGGTTCCTCAGACTAGAATGAAAGACAAAACCCTATGTGAGGGGGGGAAATGCATTGGGGGTCTTCGAGGATAAGTAGTCATAAATCAAATTAGATACCTTATCACCTCCATTGTCAAGAGAGTGTCTATATCAGGCATTTTGGTATGGCTAGATTTTAGGTTTTGTGTGTGTTTAATATATATATTATATTAGATATGATATTATATATATATTTTTAGTGGATACTTATTTTTGAAATAAACAATCTTTATTTTAAATAGTGTCCATTATGTCTATCAGTTTGCATGCTTGAGAAAACTAGAAAACCAGAGAGCACATTTTTCTTAATTTTTCTCTGCGGCATCTATTTCAAAAATGGGTATCCGCTAAAAATGTGTGTGTGGAGGTGGTTGATCTCTACTACAAACAAAGTTCATGTTAAATGTGAATCTGACTTTAAAGTAGAAGTTGTAATGTATCATTGATTTTGGTGTCTATTTTTCAGGTTTATGATGGTTTACGTTTTAAACTTGTACTACAGTTTCCTAGTGGTTATCCATACCAGGCCCCAACAGTGAAGTTTGACACAGGTTGTTTCCATCCCAATGTAGATGAACGCGGAAACATATGCCTTGATATCTTAAAAGAAAAGTGGTCAGCTCTTTATGATGTTCGCACAATTCTTCTCTCCATCCAGAGTTTATTAGGAGGTAAGTCTTAGCACCAATGTGTGCATTTTCTAACCCTGCCCCCAATCAACAAGTGTAGTAGGAAAAGTTGGTGCTAAAGATATTGGTTTTAGTAGTGGGGAAGTCTGTCAACACAGGGCTTTGTTCGTCATTTGGTGTATGTATGTTAAGTAGTATTTCATTTTTTTTTTTTAAGGTCCTTAATAAGCCATTCCTTTTTTTTTTTTTTTTTTTTTTTTATGAAAACTTACTGAAAATCTTTCTTCTTCCAGAACCTAACAATGACAGCCCATTGAATTCATATGCTGCTGAGTTGTGGGCAGACCAAGAAGCTTACAAGAAATATCTTCACGAACATTATGCAAAGAATAACAAGAAGAAACTCTAATACATATAGGCTTCATTTAAGACACTGAAAAGTGACACCAGATAAAAAAAAGAACCACCCACTCTTCAAGTCCATGCTTCAGATCTTCATCTTTCTTTCATTTCTCTCTCCTCTGTCATTTTTTTTCTTCTTTTTCTAAATGTCTCTTTTCAGCTGTATCATCTACACATTCATATGGACAACTGAAAGTCCTCACTTATTGCCTTCTTTTACTCTTAAAAATTTCTCACTAATTCTATCATCTGATTGCACCACTGGTGGTGCATTCTCTTAATAGCTGATTTTTTTTTTTTTTTTTTTTTTTTTTTAATTCTTTTCACGTGACTCTATCGATTTATGAACTTGTTTAATCTGAAATGCTTTTCTCTGTTAATGCAATAAATTGTCTTTCTTCTCTCACTTATTCATTATCCTCATCTTCAATGCATACATCATTACTGAACTGACTTGTGATATAATTCTAATATTCTCTCTCTTATTTTTTTTTTTTTTCCCTCCTTATTTTATGGCTTTTAACTTATCTTTTCCCGAAGAGTCATCTCCCTTTGCTGCAGCAGATGCTGCTTTTTGAGGTCTTCAGTATTTGTCTACCACTTTTTACATGGAGAGCCACGTATGACTGTGATACTTAGGCATGTCTGGAAACTGTGAATAAAAGCATTTGGTTTCATCTTTAATTTGTGTAGTTTTCATTTTCTCTCTTTTGTAGGCTTGGTTGAACTTTGTTCAGTTTCATCTCACATCATTAGCAATGAACTATTATTGCTTCTTTGTGTTACTTGTAACTAATTCATACAATTTTGAAAACATGGATTAAATGGGCTTATCTTTATCGCATTTCTCCGTAATTGGTGAACTTGAATAAAATTTATCCCATCTCAATATGAAAATTATCAAACAATTCAAAACAGTTAAAAATTTAATCAATGTAAAACAAAAGACTAACTTTACATTAAAAGCCACAGTCTACCAATTAGAATGTAAACAATGCTCCAAAAATACGTTGGTGAAAAATTCCAAAAGTTTAAGAGAAAAGACTATATGAGTGTAAAAGGGACTTAAAATTTTACTACACCCTCAGTGCATTTGTATATAATGAGAATAATCCTGATCACAATTTTGACCTGGAAAATTCCATACTAATAAAAGTTGAATATAATTTACTCAGATGTGTTGAAAGTATCATAATCTATAAACCCCCCTACAATTAATAGACAATTGGGCTATTTGAGTTTATCACCTGCTCTTATTAAATTAGTACTGAAACAGTGTGGAATACATAAACTTTAATAAAATAAATCCTAATTGAAATTAAATTTAATTTTTATTATATAAGTTAAAAAGCCATTTAACATGAATCACATTTTGCTTTGCTAATGTAGATTGTGTTCTTGTGAAATTTTTCTGATGTCAATTCATCAATGCAACATGTCAAATAGTTTTCCTGATATTCTAAGATTTTTAGTTCTGAAGTGGAAAGAATTGAAATTTTGCTGCATTTTTTAATTGCAAAAGAAATTCTTTGCTTCAACAGTGATTTCAAGTCGATATCCCTTATTTTTAATACTTAAAGTTTTTAATTGGAAGATTAACCATTGGCTTGTTAGTTTGTACACATAACAGGGCATCAAAGAATTTGTAGAAAGATCTTTCTTACTCTAGAAGATATTGCAAATAACATGACAATGTTGCATACCCTAACTTGTCTGGGAAGGACATAGTCTGTAATAAAAAAACAAATGCAATTTTCATAAGCATGTCATCTTTATAAAAGGCAGAAATAAAAACCAATGAGAATCTAATGAAATAGAAAACTGAAAAAATAAATGTCAAAGGACAAACTGATTAATAAAATATTAGGAGCCACTTAAAGAGAGTGAAGTCCCACTTGTTTAATCTTATTTGATGAGTAGATAGTGATTTTCTAAGCGCTGCTTAGATGTGGCACAAGGCCGGAAGTATGGAGCACCCAGTGATGATCAAACTCACTACTCAGTCGTAATTGTTCTAGCAAGACAAGCTTGCTAACCACGCTGAGGTAGTCTAATTTGATGAGTAGATATGCAGTTACTAACATGGATAAATATCTTTTAATTAAGATGTAAGTGACCTGTTTAATGAAATAGATCTATTATAAAATAAATAAATAAATAAAAAAAAAAAACTTGAATGTTTTGTTATTTATTTTTATATATATATATATATATATATATATATATATATATATATGAGGATTTATAAAATGTATTTTCATTAAAAATGTATTTTTTGTCTTCAAGAAAATCCAGTTCACTCCTTCATTTGAAGAACTTTTTTGTTATAGCATAGAATATGTATTAAATTAATGATATCCAGATATTATAGTAAGATTTTTTTTTAATATTTGTGATAATAATTGAACTTAGAAGGAAATGTAAGCCACACTTTAAGAGCTAAATTGAAACTTGAAGGTGAATTCCATCTTCACGTGTTACTCTATTAATTTTATGATGTTTCTGGTTTGTTTAACCATGCATTAGTCACCTCAGATTTCCGAAAATGGACTCCTGGGCTGTTGACACACCGCAATACAAAAATGCTTAGTGTTACAATTATGTAAATTATTGTCATACTGCTGAAAAAACATTAGCAGGCAATGTTACAGTATATATTAAGTTGTCGGTGAAAGACACCAATACAATAACAAAAGTTTTATTCATCAAAAATAGGCACAATATATTTCCATGAATAAAGATATTACATTAGCTAAACTCAATTAAAAGACTAAAAGAGTAATTATATATAATCCTGAAAACTTACCTTCATTAGTCAGGTAGGGGTAACCAGAAACTCCCAAAGAGTGTCTTGTTACACACTCTCACTGAATCAGGAGAGTAGTGGGAGGGAGCAAAAGAAACAAGTTGCCAATTAGGAATTTTAGACACTTTTTAACACATTGGGGTAAGAAAACACCTGTGACAAACACTGTTAAATGAGTTAAAAAAAAAAAAAATACTAAATGCTTACTACCTTTGAGGAGATAAGCAAATGTTAAGTGATATTTCAAACATTTTGTTAGTATAAACAAATATTTAAATGTGACATTGATCAAATTTCTTGACAGTAATTGTCACAGTTGTAAAATTATGGAATGTTTTCTTTTCAAATTTAACAAAAATATAATTTAATATTCATAATTGTGGACAAAACTTCATAATCTGAAGTTTACTTTGATGAGATATGTTTTTTTTTGTTTTTTTTTTATTTATTTTATATTTTCTTTTCTGACCATTTAACTGTAAAACATGAACTAGAAGTTAAAAAAACTATTCAAATTTTTGTTAACACCTTAATCATATGTTCAAGGTCTTCTGGGGTAAAAATGAATATCAGGGCTAGTATCTTTTTTGCTGATGAATTCTTTTGATACAAAAATTTTCTGACAGCCATGTTTTATTCTATGTCTTATTGAAATAGTTGCTCACAGTTTTGACAGTTTTAGTCCAGCATCAAAATCCGGTCGGCCCTGTAAAAGACTTTTAAGAAAATGTGAATGTTGCTGTGGATCAAACATTGTGTCTTGGACAGCTGGTTCATGAAACATTCTCTTCCTCCATGCAGATAATTTTGTTGGCAACTTATCAATGAAGTTTATATTGTCATTGAGGCTTTGAAATGCTTCAAGTCGTTCAAACCAGGGCCATAAATTGTAATCCAACATGCCTACTTGCTCACCTGCGAGAGAGAACCAGAAAATAAAATGGATTAAAATCATTTGTATAATCTAATTCTAGTTAAAAGAATATCCACTCTTCATTATATGATTGTGTTTCTTGCACTTTTGATAAGTTAGGTAAATTTAACTTGTATGATTTTAATATATCCTTCCACTTCACTTAATTTTTGAATTCTTTTGTTCTTATCTCAATTCCAGACAAGTAACATTTTATTATGATGTTCAATAAAGCATCACAATTCACAGATGAAGTAACGGAGCCTGGAGAGATGTTTGCCTACATCCTGAAATCTTCATCCATAATAAAGGAGGAAGATTATTACACAAAATTTAAATGAGCTTGCTTGTTGGGGAAGTAACTTTTGAAATTTGGGTGTTTTTTTTTTTATACAATTAGAAAATACAATACTATTTTAAATAGTGGTCCATCTGTGTGTATGTATATATATATATATATATATAATTTTTTTTTTTTTTTTTTTTTTTTTTTACATATGCTGGAAATACATATCCATGTCATAAATTCAATGAATATAGATCTAGCACCCGACTCCCTCTTTTTTCATTCCTTCCATAGAAACCAAACCAGTTTTTTTACTAAATTGAACAAACATATTGAGGCTCTCCTGAGAATGTGTATACATGATATAAGTTTTGTTAACTGAGAAACTAAAATTGCTTGATTTTTTTTTATATATATATAGCAATTTTATTTTTTCGGTTAACAAAACTTATATATGTGCATGTGTGTTGTATCCTTGAAGAGGTTACAGGCAAAGGTGGTACTTGAGATAAGGAACAGCAACATGTGCATAGATCAAAGAAGTGCGGTTTATTGTAAAAGAAAATACACTATTGAAAAACAGGGAATCAGGTGGCAGGCTAGTAATTCACAAAGCAAACCTCCAGGTATATCCTATGCTATATATAGCTACTGACACAGTCAGTTCACATAGGTGATACAACAAATATATATATATATATATATATATGTGTGTGTGTGTTTGCACATATAATTTCTGATAAAGTATCTGTAGAAAGAATATCAAAGTTTTCCTTTTGCCTTTACTCACACACATACACACACATTCTTGTATAGATATCATGAGTTTGATGCTTGTAGGTAGGGATGAGTTTAATTCTCCCCCTTGTTGATCTTATTCTAACCTCTTCATTTCAGCATTGAATCTGTATTTTGATAACAGTTACCTCCAAAGAAGGGATCTTGCTCATCCAAGTTCTCTTCAAGAATCTGCAACTCTGACAACCATGCTTGATAATGGTTACCTTCAAATGCCTTGCCATGCACTATTTGCCGCAAAAGTTTCAGTAGCTAAAAAGACAAAACCAAAGATATTTACATAATGTAAATTTGTATGTTGCATATTTGATGATTTTAAAAAAAAAATGTGTTAGTTGTGTTGTTATGAACTGATTAATCTAAAAATTGCCATAGAGATAATTTGAGAATAGCTTTTCAGTATGTTCAAAAATGATTTGAAAGCTTGTTGCATGATAAATGTTTCAGGAACCCATAAATATCTGATATAAAATGTCTATACGCATCATGTCTGAAGAGGCGATAACTGTAAAATAATGGTGACTTATTTTTTTGTCTGAACAACATAAAATCCCACAACAGATGGTGACCACAATGCAATATTTTCTCCTAGATATAAAAAACACAAAACTAAGTAAACTAAATTATTCATCAATTTGGCACTTCAAAACCAAGAGCTAGTGAAGAAAAACATTGACCAACTTTTCTATCTACTGTACTACATGGGCACAAAAATTTATTCTTACTATAAATTTGTGATTAAATCTGATGTAAAGAGCAAAATTGCAAATTTCAAACTGCCCAAGCACATCTACACAACATAGCAACTACCTGAACAAGATGGTCTCCAAGTTAGCAAAATTTTTTGCAATATTCAATGTATGTAAAAATAAAAAATAAAAAATTCTAATAGACATTATGATGACTACTACAGTCAGCAGGCTAGCAACATTCTCTTCATCTCTGCTGCCTTTGCTTAACCCTTTCTTTCTCTTACGCACAGTCATGCCTGATTTCTGCTGCCATTAGCAGACATAACAAAATTTAAACATGGCTTGAATGATCACGTGGAAATTTTTGTCAAACATAGCACTGCAACATTTAAACCAAACTTGATGTACCACTTGGAAACTTTTCACCAAATGAGAAATAGGACTTTCATCTTACAAGTTTGAAGCACACAAAACATAGGTCATTTTCTTCAAGAACACTGCCTACAATTCAAAGAAATCTATGCAGGCCAATGAGAAAATACTACTCAAAGGCAGAATAAGTCAACTCCTTTCTGATACTACACAGTAAAACTGCAGTCTCTCTTGGGCTTAACAGAAAAAGGTGTGATATAATGCATATGTTGACCCACTGATGCTTCAGAGATTAACACAAATGACTAAGACATCTGCAAATATGATTTAATAATGCTCAAGAGAGCTGCACCTCCAGGTATCTTCAAAAGTTTTTATGAAACATGGTTCAACACTTGATATCAATTTCATCAGCATCAGCTCGACAATTTTCCAAATCAAGCTTTTTCTAACCGTTAATTTTTGTGATAATCCACACACAGCAAAACAAACGGACCTTCCAAACAAAAATAAACTCATTTTTAACAGCCATATCAATTGCTGGTTTCTCTGTCTTGTTTTACAAAGTGAAAAAATACACTACTGATATATTTTCCAGAACCTGCTATATTCTGACTCGCTAGAAATTCTACAGCGCCCTGATGACACAGTACTTCAAACAATTACATTTTCATCAATATGTTAATCACTCATATATGAAATACACCGTTTGACTCTTTTTCTTTTCAATCTCTGAAGGACCAGACAGAACAGAACGTATTCAAGCTTTATAGATACTGGCAAAATAAAGTTCTCCCAATCCCGATGAAGTCATGTGGGTTACCACACTTGGCTTTGCCAAAAACACCTTTTAGGGGGTGCTCTTTAAATCTATAAAAAGGCAATCATATTCTCCTTCTTCCTCTTTTTAACTCTTGTCTTCAGATGTAGTTGCATGTAAGTAAAGTGTCCCCCACTGGAGAATGTTCATTTTCATGGTCCTCTTAACTGAACTATCATGCGCAAGCACATTTTCATAGCTAGTTTCAGTGTCTTTTCCTTTCATTTCAGTTGTGTACACATGCAAATACTTTTGTTAATAACATGCATTATCGTTTGTCTTAAACTCATTGTTTTGACTATTTTTACCCATGCTCACATGAGCCTGCCAATATTATTTTCAGGATTAATGTTCCAGGAGCCCATAAATATTTAATATAAAATGTCTATACACATCACAACTAAAGAGGTGATACCTGCAACATAATGATTACTTATTTTTGTCAAACAATGTAAAATCTCACAACAAGCTCAAAGGAAGAGGAGAGAAACAAAATGAAAGAAATAAAAGAAAATAACAAAAAAAACAGATGAAATGACAAGGGGGGAAGATGAAAGTAAAAAAAAAAAAATTTTCAACTGCTAAATATCTCTTGACTTAAAAGAATACTTTCTAGTTTAGAGCTTTATTGAACATAATTGAGCAAAATTATAATATCCCGAGCCATAATCCATTTGCTCTCCTACCCTGGAAAAGCTAATAAATGTAAATATGAATGAAAACTCCCATAAAATATTGACTAAATGATATGCAGTGATCCATATCAACAATTTCATTTTTCCATGGTTCCAATCCACCCCAGAAATAAACTGTAAGGGTGTTGGAAATTTCAATATTCAAAAAAGAAGTCATAATGAAACTAATTTTGTAAGATCTACAGAAAGAACAACTCTTTTATATATCACAAGACTACTCGTGACCTGTTGGGTTACTGACAGTTCAAGTTATTAAAACATTGAAGTTGATTTTGACATTAAAATATTGTCTGAAGAAAATTGAAAAAAAAAAAAATCTCTTATCAACAAAAGTAAATAATTTCTTACCTTATCAAACTGTCCAATCAACATTTTGTGCTTAGCTCTGAGGTAGGGGTCAGCTGGTTGCAGAGGAGGATCAGGGTAAACTTCATCTAAGTAATCATTGCACACTAATGACTCATAAATGATTTTGTCATCTTGTTCCAAAACTGGCACCAGGCCCAAAGGATTTCTTTGCAAGAACCAATCAGGCTTGGATTGGAGGTTGATGTTAACTGTTTCATACCTGATCAAGAAAAAAGAAAATTGCATGTGTTGTTAGCATTTTAACTTGCAAACTGGATGAGAAAAGATTTTGGTTTCATAGAGCCAATTGAAATGACTATCACAGATAATGAGGAAAGGGTGCTTAGAAAATTTGGCACTCACAGAATATATTGAAAGTAAGTGGGACAAAGGAAAGTAGTGCATAACCTACTTAATGATCTTGTGTTGGTAGCACAGAGATTAGGAGAGATAGTGAAAAGGTTACATTTACTAAGAGCTACAAAGATAGCAAATTGTGGAGAGCCATGACTGTCAATGTCTTGAATAGACATGGCACATAGAAGAAGAGGTTTATTGGGTACAAGAAAAGAAATGTTAAATGAGAAGTGATGATACTGTAGAGCACTCTTATAAAATTATTAACCATGTCTGATAATTGTTTTAATGTTGGAATATGAAGAAAACATGAAAATATATAATAAGGTTAAAAATCAACTTAAATCAAAATTGATGAATTAATTTTGTCCATTCTCCAATGCTGCAGTCATCATAACAATCAGAGCTACAATGCAACACTTGAACAACCAGCTGACAACAGAGATATCTACATATATATGCTACATTTAAAAAACATACATCCTTTTTTCATCAACTTTTAAGTAGCCCGCTGATACATTTGAAAACATATATACTTTCCTTCACCCACATTGTTAAGCAGGTGGCTACTACATTTGTATACATGGATATATATATATATACTTTCTTCTGGACTCTTTTTCTATCTCTTTCATATACCCAAGGATTTTTATACTTGGACTATTGAAACTTTCACTTTCACCTTATCCTTCTGTATTATGATATTGTGTTATACAAAGATTAATTTTGTAGTTATCAACACTCTGTGCATTTTTTTTTAATCATTACACAAGACCAACATACACCCAAACCAAATATAGCAATATATGGTGGTAAAGGGCATTCTCGTAAGATCACCTTCCATAAATCCACCACAATGCTAGTGAAAAGATTAAGTAAAAGTATTTCTTTTTTGGCAAACTGAGATATTTGTGTAGGCAACAAAAAGCAGTGTCAAAAGATGGCTTTTCCCTTCACATCACTATTATTTTAACTACCTTTACTCCTTGGCAATGTTTATTGTTTTAAAAAGCGATGATTAGAATTGTAATAAAACCTAAACATATGATGAAAGTGAATTTATACATTTTTTTTTTTGGTTCTTGATAATTTACAACAAAAATATTAAACACTATTTATTTATTAGATTTACATGATTTACAATTCAGAGGTTCACTTCTCTTAGCTTGGTTGCCACCCAAAACTAGATAGCCTAATATACCCTATTATGTAACCCCTAGCTTGGTGGAGGGAAAAGAGACATATTCGTACCTTTCCCAAAGGCATTTGTATCAAAGTGAATATAACAGACCAACCTGGAATTTGAACTTGGCTCAGCAATTCCACTTTGCCTACCAATAACTGTTACACTACTTGCACATCCCAGAAGGCTACTGCACTTAAAAATATTTTAGCAATATTCAACTATATGGTATAATAATATTTAAGTATCATGAAAATTAACAAACTTCTTTTAATCAAGCTTATGATTTCATCTTTGTCCTTTGCAGGAGTTTATCTTTCGAACTGAACTATTTTTTTTTAAATTAAGAACAGTTTTGAAAAAAAAATGCCCCTGAATTAATATATAACAAAAAATAACAACCAAAAAAAAAATAAACCAACCTAATGTTCTTATGCACTAACACCAGTCTTGTTCTCTGGGCATAGGGACAAAAACGCATGCTGTACAGCCGTAATTTACTGGCATTCAGAGGTGGAAAAGTACTCCCTAGAAATGGAGAAAAAAATTTTATTGACAAAAACATTACAAACATTGATAGTTGTTCACCAGACTTTATTCTTTAAAATAAAATCTTAGAAATAACAACTAATAGATTATTAAAAAAAAAAATTATATCTTTTTAAAAAATAGTCAATATTAATAATATTTTTATAGTATTCAAAAAGATTTGATTCCATGAATTTTTCTTATAAAAAATATGAAACAATGTCTGATCATCAGCAAGAGAAACAGCTTAAGATGCAAACTTTGAATTGAAGATAGTAAAAAAAAAAGCAAGAAGGAAAGACTAACCATCAATTGAAAGACAACAGAATCTGTGGTTGTCAGCAAGTGAAACAGCCCAAGATGCAAACTAAAAATTGGTGGTCATAAAAGAAAGTGAGAAGAAAGGACTAACCATCAATTGTTAGAAGACAGAATGTATGCTTACAGATGAGGAAAAGTAATCCCACAAAATGGAGAAAACAATTTTATTAAAAAAAATACAAACATAGTTGTTATTCATCAGACTTTATTCTTTAAAATAAAATCTTAGAAGTAACAAACTAAGAAAATAAAAAAAAAACAACTTATATCTTTTTAAAAAATGGTTGCCATTAGTAATATTTTTATAGTGCTAATATTGAAAAAATTTGATTCTATGAATTTTTCTTATGAAAAATATGAAACAACACTTTCTGATAGTTACATTTGAAAATATATTAGTGTATAGAAAGGGATGTAAGACAAGGATGTATCTTCTCACCAGACTTATTAAACCTAATCAGTGAGACGATTCTGAGAGATTTAGAAGTCCAACCACGATTTATTATTGGCGGCCACAACATAAGATGTGCAGATAACACAGTGTTGATAGTAGACACAGAAAAGAAACTACTAGAACTCCTACAGAAGCTAGTGAAGGAAAGTGAGAAGAAAGGGCTAAACTTCAATTGAAAGAAGACAAAATACGTGGTTGTTTAGCAGAAGGAACAACCTAACGTGCAAATTACAAATTGGAAATACCAAAATCAAACAAGTACAACAATTTAAATATCTGTGAAGTATTTTAACACAGTACAGAATGTGCAACACTAAAATCCAAAGGTGATTAAGATAGTGAAAGTAGCCCTCCAAAAGCTCAGCAAAGTATTAACTATTAAGAAATAGAAAATGAGTTTAAAAAAAAAAGGTACTGAGCTGTTATGTAACATCAGTCCTCCACAAAACAAAAAAAGAAACTGTGTGCATTTCTACAGATGCACTTCTCCAAGAAATAATAATGTTTTAACTTTTCTCATTCTTTTTTTTTTTTCATATCAAATTGGTATTCCAGATCATTAATATCAAAATGATTTTTATTTTAGCACTGCCTATTTTCGCACTTCTAAAAAAGAAGACATTTTTAACATTCTTTTTAGAACTTCTTTAAGCCTTAAAAGAATCAGAAAAATTTGTTATCATTTTAGAAGTGAAGTCGGGTCCTGTTCATAATGTATCAAACCAATCCTTGACTTTTACAAAGTTATTCGACACCTGTTTGTTTACAAATGTCAAGTTTGTAACTGTGCTTATCATTGATATTTGCGTATGAAAACACACTTTTTTTTTATTTTATTGTGTAAAAAGATTTCTTTTTTTTTAATCTGTTTTTCTTTTGTGTCTTATTTTTTTAGGAAAATATTTTTAAATAACCAATTGTTTGGCGAAATGGAAATTTTTTTCACGAACAGATTTTTTTTGTCATTAAAAAACAAATATAAACATTTTTAAATAGATGCATCACATTTTAAATTAAATAACAAAGATATATAAATTAACAAAAGTAATAAAAATATGCATATATCAATGACGTAAGCACATATGTAAATAAAATAAAAACTAAGTGCAGATAACTCTGTAAAAGTTAGGGATCGATTTGACACTGTAGTAGTGTGTCGATATTATGAACAGGACCTACTTCTAAATGGATAAAAAAAAAAATCTATATTTTTGTAATGACATAGGCAAATTGGGCTTGCCCAATTTTGCATAGAGTCGAGCGACTACTAATAAATCAGTCGTTACTCGGTACGGAGTTAGGACTTCTATATTACAGACAAGAAGATATCACAACAATTTTTTCAATTTGGCTTGAAAATCTAACTAACTAAAGAATGCAAAAGTTATTCCCCATGCTATTTTTTCTTTAATTTTCTAAATTTTAAGAGGGGTGTGTTGGATGGACAAACTCCCAATTAAATGATTTTACTATTTTTTATGTATTTCTTTTTTATTTATTTATTTGTATAGTTTTTTTTTTTTTTTTTTAGAAATACGGTAAGTTATCTGTCCTTTTCGGTTGAAAATCAAACATAATTTTAATTTTTCTGACAAGCCAAATGATTTCCGAACAATTTAAAAAACTAAAAGGATATCTCTTATCAGAAATGTACCAATTACTCAACAGCTGCTTGTTAATGTTTATCGTTAAAGTTTTGTTTGACTTTTTTTTTTACTTACCGTTGGCGTATGACAATTCTGAATGCATATCTTTCGTTATATTTTTACAGTAGAATCTAAGATATGAATCCTTCCCTTTTGAAATGAAATTTTTCACTGTATGACGACGACTGAAAAATCCTAGGCCCGATGCTAGATTCATGTTCATGAAAACAAAACTTTGTCCTCCTTTTACTATCTTTATTTATTTATTTTTTTAAATACAAACATTCCAAGGGAGACAACTTCCAGTGTTTATAAAAAATAAACTAATTAATTTTTATTGCCTCATTGAAGATTAATTTTTAGCCTAGGTTCTTAACTTTCCCCGCACTAAAATAAAATTAAGCTTAGCTGCAGAACAAAAAAAAAAAAAAAAAAAGTGATTCCCTTAGAATTCTGAGCCTTCCTCTCACTTGGATTTTAAATTTTTATTTGATTTTTTTTTTTTTTTAAAAAAAAAAAAGGAATATCAGTTTGACTGGATCCTGTCAAGGTTGATAATGTATTGTAGGTAATTTATTTTTATGACTTTCTTGTATGCTAGTTATAGGTAAGTGATTTGCCCACATACTCTTTTTCCTATAAAAATTTCTAGCATGCTAGTGACAGGACATTCTGGTATTTTTTTTTATAGTTTTAGTTTATTAATGTTCACCCAATACAAGGTTCAAGAGCCACTCAAGGTAGAGTGTTACTGAAAGAGATGTGTGGTATGGACGTAAGAGGAAGAAGTAGAAAGTGAAGATTATGAGGATAAGAAGGATAGATAATAATTGACCCTGAACTTGAAGAGGTTAGCATTGTAGTGATTTGGGAAGCATCTACATGGGAGTCTGTTCCACAAAGTAGCAGTTCCTGGGAAGAAGCTGTTTGAGTGAAACTTCCTTTTTACAAATGGAATATGAAGAAAATGAGGATAATTCAACCCTGTGGACATAGAATAGCATCAAAAGGATGGTCTTTCCCTTAAAACCTCTATTATTTTTTTACTATCTTCACTCCCTTGGTAATGTTTATTTACAAGATTATAAAAATATGTGAACCAACTACAATGCAATATTTATTATTTATCATTTTATAAAGAAATATGGAAATAAAATTTTTATTCATAATTTTATAAAAATATCAATGAATTATAAAACATTTATTTCTTTATAAATTGATAAATGATAAACATTGCATTGTATTAGTTGATTCACATTTTTGTGGCTCACTTATTTACAATGTTATAGATATAAAATTATTATTGTAAATAAACAATCTAATAAATAAATAGTGTTTAATATTTTTGTTGTAAATTCTCAAAGAACAAAGAAAATGTATAAATTTACTTTCATATGTTTAGATTTTATTAAAATTCTAATCATCACTTTTTAAAACAACATTGCTGAGGAGCAAACGTAGTTAAAATAATAATAGTGGTGTCAAGGGAAAAACTCCTTTTTGACACACTGTTCTGTTGTGGGCACGAAGGTTAAAGATTGCTATTTTTTCTTTCCTTTTCAGCCTGGTACACACTTGTATATTTTCACTCTTTTGTTAAAAGTTATTAGTTATATAAAAATACATGAGAATATCTCCATGTTGAAATTTATTCTATATTCTTTTACCTCTATAAATGATGACACCCCATTATTTATAAGTGGAAATTTTGGTTGACACTGCTTTTGGTTGAGCCAGTAGTATCTACAACAATATATGTGACATCTATGAAACCAATCAAAACAAATACAGCAGAGAATTTAAAAACTGAAATATAACTTCAAATCATTCCACTCCAATAATTCTGACAAAGCTAAACATGTTGTAATTTATAAAGATTTCTTACTAGTTCTTTATTCAATTGTTCTGTTGGATTTATTAATCCATATTTTCAACTCATATTTTTCATTTCACCCAAGTAAGACAATAAAGCCACTAAGATGCAAAGGGTTAATGAGGGTTAGAGAATATGAGAAAAATATACTACTAAAGAGAGAAGACAATAAAATAACAAGAATTACAAAGACAGAAGATAATGATTGACATTGCATTTAAATTTTTGAAGATCAATATTGACTAGGAAGCAAGAAGCTGGAGGAGAGTTCCACAAGTGAGAAGTATGATAGAAGAAACTGTTAGCATAGAACTTCTGGTTATAATCTAACCATTTCAATTGTAAATAGTATTTATAGAAAAGGCACAGGGAACCTACATTACAGTGGTGGTAATGGGACTGAAGCCAGAGTGCCAGGTCAGGGCAAATAACATTGCAGATTCTTTGGATTATATCAAGAATCTCTAAATATATATCAGGAGCACCAGACCAGATGTGGCAGCAATATTCAAAGCCAGGACAAATCGTAGTCTTCAAAGCCAGGACAAATGTAAGATAGATTCTGTTGAGAAAAATTGTCTAGCTTGATACTGTGAATCAACTTTCCTAGCTACAGACTTAGTAATTGAAAATTTAGAATTTATAAATTGAAAATTTATATCAGTAACCAAGCAAGACCTGTTGGCACTCCATACTTTCTTGAAAGTTTACCAAAATACATGACAGACACTGAAATATCAATTTATTTTATCAAATATCAGCTTGACATCTTTTTAGGTTTTATCTTCTTTCACTGTAGTTAAGTTTGTTCATTTTTATTGCTCCTTTATGCTAATGTCTTTTCACATCAGATTCATTACAATGTTTGTTCCCAATCAGTTGCCAGACCCCACACTACAAATAGTGAATCAGGCTACACCTCAAAACTCAGTCTGACAAGTTATTTGACTTTCTTGTCATTAACAGCCCAAATTAATCTATTGAGTTGTTAAATAAATTCAATTATTTTTCCAATGTTTTTTTTAATTAACACACAAAACATAATTACTGCGGTGTTTCATAGTTTTTTTTTTAGAATTTTGTTCTTCCTCTACAACTTTTGCTTATTGTATCAATAATATAAATATTATTGATTATATTATAATAATATATTATTAATACCATATTATTGATAATATATGTGGAGTGGGTAGCCATGGTCAAATACAAAATAATGAAGAGAACTGTCTAACAGACTTGACAATAAAAAGAAAAAGGAACAGGGAAAAAATGAAATAATATCAAGCAAGCAAGCAAACAATATATACAAAACCAATTAACAGTAAGATGGCAAAAAGTTCACAAACTAAGAATTGATGTTGACACACAAAAGCAAGTTTGGACAAGCAAATGTAGTGTTCTGTCTTCTAAACAAGGCATATCAGAACTGAGTCATGTCGAACTGCAAACCAGCCTATTTTATTGGCTAAGAAAAAAATCCCAGTATGCATTTGGGTGCTTTTGCCTATAAAAGGGGAGGGGCAAGTGTTTTGCAGTCATTCTTAATCAAGATTGAAAATCAACAATATAAATATTATATTATTGATAATATAAATACTAGATTAGTCAGAAAGTCCTAACTCATTTAGAGAGCGGAAAGAAAACAACAAATCTTGATCTCTGTCTGGTGGAATTTCCAAGGAGTACTGCATTTCGTGCACTTCATGGTCATGCCATCAACTAAATAAACTGTATTTCCAGCAGCTAGACCCTATGTACAACAAACTAAAGGAGTATCTTGTTTTGGTCAATTGATGTTGGTGGTTTGTTTCAGCAAGACAATGCAAAGCCACACACTGCTAGCTTGACCCAGGAAATGTTCAAATAGATGGATAGTGTTGAGATTCTTCCACATCTGCCATTCAGTTCCAATGCTGTTCCGAGTGACTGAATGGCACACTTCCTCTACCATCCACCAGTGATTCAACACTTTTGATGAAGTGAAGGAAGCTTGTTTACAGTTTTTTTTTTTATTCAAAGTCAGTGGACTGCTATCTGGGAGAGATTCAAATGCTGGCTGATCACTGACAGAAGATTGTCTAGAATGATGGATTTTTGTTTTAAAGAATAAATGTTGGTGTTGCTCCATAAAATTTTGTTGTTTTCTTTTTGCTTTCTAAGCAAATCAAGACTTTCTGGCCAACCTAATATTATATTATCAATAATATAAATATTATTGACTAGTTTTGTTAAAATTGGTGATGAATAACAGGAATAAAATACATGGAAAAAAATGAATGAATTTAATAGTTAATTCCAAAAGTAGCCCTCAAAACAAAATTCAAAATTTAGTGACATTGTTTTTTTTTGTAGTAGTATATAAAAGATACTGGTGACCTTGTTGCAGACAGGGGAGAAAGGAGAAACAAAAATTTAAATGCAATGTCAATCATTATCTTCTGTCTTCTTAATTCCTGTTCTTTTATTGTTCACTCTCCTTAATAATTTTTTCTTTTAATCATATTCTTTCACACTACGTAACCCTTTGTATCTTTATTGTCTTGTTTGGAGTGAAATGATTAAAAAAAAAAAGAAGAAAAGTTATATAAACCAGATCACAAGTGTAGAAAGAAGAGAAAATGTCAAAATGAAACAATTCAACTTTCTTGTAATGAATAACAAGAAATTTATACAGAAATCTACATATAAAATCCTATGACTCCTGTTAGTCCATCTGTCCATTACACCCTCTAGAATAGCCATACATTAACTGATAAAAAACAAATTTTGGGGAAAAGTGCAAACAGGTAAGGGGTTATAAAGTACAGTTGATTTTCCTAAGGTGCATAGCTAAATACAATAAATTTTTATTAATTTTTTTTTGAAAAATTAGAAGTTTTATTATTTAACATACAAAATAAGTCCATCACATCGTCATTCCTCTTTCTTCTAATACTACACTGGGGGCAAACATCAAATGACTTAACTGCAGCTGAGAACGTCAGTCCACTCAACCCCTATACACACCTTTCAACAAAGAGAGATTGACCTTCATAAGGCATTTCCTAAGCCACTTTTATTTTACTTAACTGGTTGCAGTTTTGGCAATCTAATTAACAAGGCCAAATGCTTCAAAAAGTTGGAATTTGGATCCAGAAAGAAATATTTATGCATGGTCAGTTATATGTTGCATGCTCAAGAGTAAGAAAACCTAAGAATTTATTCTTTGCTATTAAAAAGGAAAAAATAAATTTTCATAAAAAATATTGTTTATCATGAAGTCCTATAAAATTAAATTAAAGAAATTATTAAATGGCAAAGTATTTTTCCAAACAAATCAGTTTATTCAAATTTCATTGATTGATTTGTGAAATTGAACAAAACATAGAGTTTGTAAATCTCAACAAAAGATGTTAGTGATAACTTCAACAATACTAAATACTGTGAGGATTTTAACACGTGTCAGGGTGTTGCAAAAAAATTCTCATATTAATTTTACAGGATGTGGAAAATTATTTTGAAGTGTTGGAAGTTTGTAAAATGTTTGTAGAAGAAAATAAGCGGATCTGAGAGTTCTTAGAAAAAAGTTCTTTTTGTAGTGCATGTGTTATAGAAGAAAAAGTTAAGAATTCTTTGAATGAATGCTAATTTGAAAAATGTCTCATTTGTAATGTAAGTTGTTCTGTCTTGTGAGTAACTATTAAGATGATTAGTTTTGAAAGAATGTTTTGTGACTGGAGTGTGTTCAAGTGTAGAATCTTATGTACAGAGCATTTGATTATTCAGCTACTGAAGAAAATGAAAAAGAAAATTATAAAGTCAAGAATCAATCAAATCGAAACATACTTTGTTTTGATTAGACTTGATACTTCAGACTGGAAGACAAATTTAATAAAAAAAAAACACATAGACATGTTTTACTTAACACACGCACGAGGTGAACGCTTTATTTACATTAGGAACTGTGTAAAAAGAGAGAAGAGGCGATAGTGAAAACTAAGAGCAGATAACTCTTGGCAGACTGACAGTCATTGATAATTCAACAGAAAATTCTTTTGTTGTCTCTATTTATTGTCTTAGGTTCATCAAGACAATTTTTTGGTTGATGAAAAAGTGTTTTGTTTAATTCTAAATTGCTAGTTGAAATTTATTTTTTATTTCTAAATTTTGCTTGTGGCGAGCCTCCTCTAGGCACCACAAACTAATCAATTTTTAGACTTGACAAAAATGTCTGGTTCTGAAACTGAAAAAATTTGGAAGTATGACTCTTTCAAAAGTAGCCTAAGCTGGCAGACTTGTTCTTTATGTTTGTAAACTAATATTATAAAGAAAACATCAAATAAAATTCCTTTTAAAACTATATTTTTTTTAAACTGTGATCACAAAATTGGAAATTTTGTATTTTATAATGAAATTCTTGTGAAAATCTGCACAATACTCTTTTTCATGGGGAACTTTTCCAGAAATAAATCAAATTGTGTCTTATTGAGAAAAGCAGTAATAATGACTGAAAATAATATCTGTTAGCTTATCTATGAGAACAAATGTGAAATGGAGTCAAATTTCATGTGTGGGTATAACCTATCCAAATAATGGTAAAGGCAAAAATTGCCTTATCCCCACACTCTGTATCAAAAGGATGTTAGTGTAACCCACAACCCTTCCTGTTAATGCATTGGGTAGGTGCTGTTCCAGATCTGGAATCTCCAGTGTGAAGGCACATCAGCATCATTTTCTGTCTTGCTCAATGACAAGACCAAGGCTGATCCCAGCCCCACAAAAACCTGTATGAGTCTTCAATGTCTATAAAAAAATATTTACATCTAACACAAACTATCAAGGGAAGACAAAGTTTGTAACAAAGGAATGATTTTAAAGAAATTATAACCACAAAATTGTTTACAATAAATTAAAATTTATTATTTTCATTGTTACAAATACATAATTTTTTAAGTGAATATCTCAAATGTGCTTTAAGGCTTAGTTCTATGGTAACTGAAAAAAACTGAGGTTTCATTGCAGTTGCTGGTTTGATAAGGCATATTAAAAGAATAAAAACATGAACAGCAAACAGTTCTTTCGTGCAGGGGTCAGTACAGATGCTGTTGTCATAATTTTAGACCAAAATATAGGTGGTTGGCTGTAGAGAAGAGACATAGTAGCTTATGGGCACCTTTAAAAAGCCTAGGCTTTCAAAAAGAAGTTCTATTCTCCCACGGGTAATTTTCAGGGAATTTCAAACAAAAATTCCCTGAAGATTACCTGGATCAACAAGCCCCTGATAAAGACCAGTGGGCACAATGGTCAAAACATTGAGATAACAACAAAAACAATGAGCACAATAGTCTGAGTGTAAATAATGTAAATAAAAAAAAATTTAATTATTTTATAAATAAAAAAAATAATTATTATAATAATTCATAATATAAAATATTAAAACTTATAATATAATTTATTTCATTTATAATATAATAAATAATAATTTATTATTATTTATTTATTATAATTAATAAATTAAATTTATTGAATGAGAATTTAAAGAAAATCAAATGGAAATATTTGATCTGAACTGCATCACAGGAATAAGGTTGACTTGGAATTTAATCCATATTGTTTATATCAAAATTTCATTCTCTGTGAGAAGACTCTTGAGGAATTTAACATGTTGCTGTAAATTGAACATTGTAGCTTGGACGGCTGGTTCCTGAAACATTCTGTTTTTCCATAAAGATAATTTTGTTGGTAAATTACTGATAAAGCCCTTTAGGCATTCACCGAGGGTTTCAAAGGCTTCTAAACGTTCAAACCATGGCCATAAGTTGAAATCTAGCATGCCTACTTGCACACCTAAAATTAAAAGAAAAGAAATTGAATTGACTAAATGATAATCAGGTAAAACTGACAAAATGACAGATAAAAAAGGAAAAACTTCTTTCTTCCCAATTTTCTTCAGAAAAATTGAACTTCTCCTTCTGATTCCTACATTTGTTAAGTTTATAATTTATAAGATGGTAAAAGAAAAACAAAGTCTTCAAAAAGTGGTGACAAACACAAAAATGGTTCCAAATATGCAAGAAATGACTTGTTAATTTCAACACCTCCAAAACAAAACTGCTCTCTTTTAAGCATCTGGCAGAACCCTTTTTTTTCTTTTATCAACAAGATGGAGGCTAACCTCCAGGAGAATAATTCATTGTGTCTCTTCAGTTTAACCTTTTCTACTGACATAAAGTGGAATGATTGTATTGAATCAACTGGTTGGTCTGCTGCCAGGAAAGTTGGTCCACTGTGTCATGTTACGCAATTTTTCTCATCTGAATCTATCTTACATACTTATAAGTTTACCATTCGTCCAAGTATTGAATATTTTTTTTTAAGTATTTCATCCCAAGCAGAGTGGGAGCAAGAGTAAAGAGGCGTGATAGAGGAAAGGATGAAGAGAAGGATGGGGAATTAGATCAAGGCATCTGGAGATGTTGATTGACATTGCATTTGAATATTTGGAGATTATAGCTATCAGGAAAGCAAGTAAGAGGAAGGGAGTTCCACAGATAGGAAGTGTGAGACATGCAGCTATTGAAGTAGTAGAAACGGCTATATTTAAACATTTTGGCAGTGAAAGGGTGGGATTGAGATGCCAACCTTGTAGCACGTTTAAATTCATGCAGTTTGGGAACCAGTGAAAGTAGCTCATCGAAGAAGTTACAGTGAAAGTATTTGTAGAAAAGATAGAGGGAAGCGATGGCATGTTTGTGAGAGAGTGACTGTAAATGAGATGCCAGATCAGGACCAATCACATTGCATATCCATCTCTGTATTTTGTTGAGGACCTTAAGATGAACAGCAGAGGCTCCAGATCATATATGGCAGCAGTATTCCATGCTAGGGTGAATGGTTGATTTATAGATTTGTAGGATGGACTCGGCCTGAAAAACTTTCTGGTGTGACACAGAAAACCAAATTTCCTTGCAGTGGATGAAGCTATTGACTCAATGTATTTGTCAGGTTGGCAGACAGTGAATATCACTGCCACATTTGGATTGGTGCTTCTGATATCTATCTGGAAATTCTTCAAAGAATCCAAAGAAGAACCTCCAGTCTTATTGGTCCTGATCTGGCATCTCAGTTTCAATCACTTTCCCACTGCTACAATGTAGCTACCCTGTGCTTTTTCTATAAATAATTTCATGGTAATTGTTCTGATGAGCTTTCCTCATTGGTATCTCAACATCACTGTGCTAGATTGTTAGCTCAGTCTCATCATCTACTGTTGAAATTTCTAAGTGAAAACGTAACTTCTATGCTATTGATTTCTTCTCTCGTACTTCTTTGCTCATAGAATTCTCTTCTGGCTTCTTGCTTTCCTGTCAACTACACAGTTCAAGGATTTAAAGACAATTTCTGTCTCCTTGAATCCTGATCTTTTAATGTCTCTTCTCTCCTCAAAATTTTCTCAGTTTCTTTTACACTCGGTAACCACTTGTATCTGAGCAGCTATATTGCCTCCATGAGGACACTAGTCCAAGTAAATCAGTTTATAAAAACAAAGGCACTAGTCTGAATAATTTGTAGATAAATATAAATAAATCATTCCAATCCAACAACAACACAAAGGGGTTGAATTGTCCATACAAAATTTGGAAGATTAATGACTCATCATAGCTCATAATCAAAAACTTGGATTTAAAAATAAAAATGTTTTAACAGAGGATGAAAGGTATGACACTGAAATCTGAAGGTGTATTGGGATAGTGAATTATGCTTTCTAAAAGCTAAGCAAAGTATTAAGAAAAAGAAAGATTTCATGACAAACAAAGAAAAGAGTATTGAATTGCCAGTCCTTTTATATGGCAGTGAATACTGGACACTCTCCTTACAGATCAAGAAGAGATTCCTAAAAAAAATGAGGTGGAGTGGTAATTTCGTAAAATCTCTTGTTATCTTTGGACTATCTCTCCAATGGAGAATCTGATTGTTGGAAAGTTCTCTATTGGTAGTACTAAGAATTGATATCAATATGTAATGTCCTTTACTAATAATACTTATAGAAATAATACATCACTTTCTCAATATTTTTGAGTTTGAAAGATGACAATAAAATTTCTTAGGTGAAATGGAAAATTTTAAAAATGACAAGGACATGTAGATCCTTATCTGAAACCCTGTTTTCTGTGTTTACATGAGAAATTGGAAATTATCAGGTTCTTTGATAAGAATGCTTTAGTAAGCCAAAGATTTGAGTTAATGGTAAGTTGTAAACACAGTCTACCTTTTACCTTACAATTCAGTTAGACTTGAAATTTGACAATGCTTTTTCTTAGATTTTAGTTGAACTGCGTTGCATCATATATAGCTTATCTTTCTATTTGTGAGATTATTTCGATTTAATATAATTTTGTATTAATCTCCTGGTAGTATTAGTAACATCTTGTATGGATGTATTGGTATTTGGTTGGTATTTTTGACATTTTGCATTCATGGTTATTGTTATTGACATCTTACATAAAGAATCTTTAGTCAACAGTTGCATATTAACTTACCAAGTAATTCTATATGCTTAAATTATTTACTGGTTTCTTAATGAAGCTATTTATCAACTATAAAAATTATAGAAACTCACAAAGCATATAACTATAGCACTTATATATAACTAAGCATAATAAGTATTTATACAAAGCTGTGCTTTGTTATCCATTACTGTCAAAAAAAAATATATAGATATATATATGTTGGTTACACTAACACGAAGGCTTACACTACAGATGTCTGACCATTCATCCATTGCAAGACATCTACATTCAAAATATAAAAAATTACTAATTGACAACAGAACTATCATACACCAAAAAAACAATAAATTCAAACTTCAGATCCTAGAAGCAATTTATATTGAAAAATTAAAGCCGGCACTGAACAGAATTAACTATGAATACTACAGTAATGTCCTGAAATGCCTATAAAGGAACAGTTTTTCCATGCTTTAATGTACACATGACCATGACATTATAACACAGCAAAAAAAATTCCATAATGGATAATTTTTCACGTTCTAATGAACGCTCAGCACATTGTCAACTGTTTTGCCTTTAAAAGCATAATGAAAAAAATTATGGTAATGGATAACAATGCACAGCTTTGTATAAATACTTGTACTAATGAACAACATATAGTTTTGTACCACTTGCAACCCTGAAGATGATCTTGGAAAAAGATTGAAAGTACTTGGGAAATGAAAATAAAAGAAATTTAAACATCTATAGTACATTTCTCTCATCCTTTAACATCAATACAAGGAAGGTTATGATATAGATATAGCTTATGAAAAAAAGGGTAGCAGTCAAATGAAAAGTCATTTTCATGAACAACAATGCTTCAGTTCATGATACTAGCACAATTAATGAATATTTAGGTAAATTAGAGCTTCAAAATCATAGGCTTATGGTGTGGCTGCAATGTTCCCTGGATTTAAATCCCATCAAGAACGTTTTGAGCATTGTCAAGATGGGTGTTTAATAAACTTTGGGACACAATTTTATATGTTTGTGAAGCCATTGCCTTGAATAAATTCTCAAATTCTATTGACAGTAGGTTGCTTAAAGTCATTAAAGAAATATAAATTACATCAATAAATAATATTACAATTTTGCTGTTACACCCAGCTTGTGATAATTTTTATAAGTCATTTCTTTGAATAAATTATTCTTAGGTTAGTCATTAGCTTTCATTTTTTTATCCTTACATACCTTCACATTAATATTTTTATAGGACTAGAAAGTGGAATATTTTTAGATGAACAAATAAAGTGGAATGGTGTAAAAAAAATGATTTTTTACATTGCCAAGCATAAATTCAATTCTATTTCATGCTGCAAGCTAAGATTTTCGGATATTTTACAAACACAAAAGACTTGTTTGGCAAAAGATTTTATGACTTTTCAACCATTAGTTGTATAATTATTGTAATTTTTCTTACTTATATAAAATACTGGAATGTGCAATATAAAAGTAATAACATTTTGAGAAAACCATCTTATGTTCCTGGCATAAAAGAATGGGAGATTGAAGAACTTACCGCCAAAATAGTCACCTCTCATGACTAATTCTTTTTCTAACATCTGTGAATGGTAAATAAGTTTCTGATTGATTTCTGCTTTCTGACAGCCATTAGAGATCAAACGCAGAGCTGTTCTTATGTCCTAGAAAATAAAGTTTCAAAGCTGTTTTAGTAAAGCACTCCTTTGAAATATAATGTTTAACCAGCAGTAATGAAGCTTTAATATAATTCTTTATAAGCTAGTCTGTACTGTGGAGTGAGTTCAGTTTTCATTGGATGCTCAAAACACAAATTAAGCTTAGTTAATATCTACAATGTGGTGCAGATAAGTCCAGAAAAAAATAATGAATAATAAAAATGTTTTTATATAACAAATTAATAAATTTCAATGAAACTTTATACACAGGCATACATATAAGGTACATATGCTTATCTGACTCTTTAGCTTTAATTATATATATCTATATATATATATATATATGTGTGTATGTGTATGTAATATTTTATATAAAACAAATTATCTCTTACCTTATCAAACTGTCCAATCAACATTTTGTCCTTAGCTCTGAGGTAGGGGTCAGCTGGTTGCAGAGGAGGATCAGGGTAAACCTCATTCAAATAATCATTGCACACTAATGACTCATAAATGATTTTGTCATCTTGTTCCAAAACTGGCACCAGGCCCAAAGGATTTCTTTGTAAGAACCAATCAGGCTTGGATTGGAGGTTGATGTTAACTGTTTCATACCTGAGCAAGCAAAAAGAAAATTATTAGCTTTGTATATAGTCAAACAAAAAAATAATATAATGTGAAAAATATATAGAAAATAGGAAAGAACTCGTTAGGTAAATAATCCAAAAAACAAACAAACAATAAAATAATTTTTAAATTCCATAGTCCTAATAAATAGTTTAAATGCCCTACAAAAAAAGATAACCCTTTATGAAGTCATCAAAAAACAAATGTTAGCGATTTATGACAGTTTTTTATATACACAAAACCCTTTCAGAAAAAAATAAAAAATAAAAAAATAAATAAATCTCCATAGACGCTTAACCAGACTAGACAATGCCATTTTCCGCTTTAAATTTAGACACCCCAACCTTACCCTGACTTGACATCTGTGAATGTAACTGAGATATTGATACAAATTATTAACACCTTACGCCCCTTTTGTTTAAACAATTGCTCTAGCCGTTACCATAGAAATTTTGATTTCAATAATGAATATACTTATAAAACGTGTAAATTTCAGAAATAAGTTATTCCAAAAAAAATTTCGCTTGAAGATGGAATGGAGCTTAGTACTTTGATTCAATTTAATTAAAATAATTATATTGAAGTTTTTGGCTCTTGTTTTGAAACATGAGAAGTCTTATGTAGCGTGTTGGAATCATATTTTTAAATAAATAATTATATATATATATATATATATATATATATATATATGAATATAAGAATGGACATTGAGGTCAACCCCTGTGGCGACAGTGTTTCATGCTTAAATGCAATCTTCAAGCCTGAAAATTGCATTTAATCTTCAAACCTGATGATTACATTTAAGCATGAAACAGACTGCCACCTCTGGATGATTAAACGTTATTTTTAGTGGATACCCATATTTGAGTAGATGACCTGTTTATTTTAAACAGTATATTTATTTTTGTCTTCCAGCCTGAATATTTGAGAAATCTTATTAAAGAAAAATATGCTCCTTCTGGCAGGAATCAAACCTCTGTTGTACCTTTTCAATAACCCTCAGAATAATACAATAAACCAGAAATAACTGATCTTGCTACCCATAATGCCCTAATGAATGACACCATAAATAAATAAATAATGAATGAAGTTGAGCTACTATCCAACACACATAGCCTGAAGATTATGTTCAAGCATGAAACAGACTGTTACCATTTTGAATTTTGTGTTCACACTGATTATATATATATATATATATATATATATATGATAAGAATATAGTTTTAGGGTATGCTATATTTATATAAGGATAGAGTGTATGTAAATATAAAAGTGAACATTGAAGTCAACCTCCAGTGGCAACAGTCTGTTTCATGGTTAAACACTTGGGAATAAAAGGTGGTATAAGCTTGAATGTGTGGGTAATGTAATGGATAACAACTTGGAATTTGAAATCAGAGAGCTGAGTTCCAATTCCACTTGGATTCGTTATATTCACTTACATGCAAATACCCTTGGGGGAAGGTATGAATCCACCTATTCTCCCCCCAGCTATAGGTTAATTCGTAGGAACTGTAGCAGTAAATCATTATTATGACCTGACAATTGCGTTGAAACATAAAACAGACTTGCTGCTGAGTGTTGACTTCCATGTACACTTATACATATATTACAATGAATCATTCATACAAAAAGTAAATTAGTAAAGTTAATGATATAAAATGATGAAATCCTTTCGCTAAATAAATTTTAAAGATGCATTAACCCACTAATCATTTGATGAATGTTATGATACTTGTTTTTTAAAATTATAAACTGTATTAGGTCTTCCTTAAATAAGCAAGTACTTTCAATGGGTCCTCCGGTCATCATCAGGCATGGAAACTATTTTGTCTTTGGTAAAATTCAGGTAGCATCTGAGACAAAAAAGTATAATGCAAATTGAAATATTTTTTTTAAAAAATGTGTTATTGATAACAGATAGAAACTTATGGAGTGTGCAGTCACAACACTAAGGTTGAATTTTTTTAAAAAATTTAAGTGAATGCATTCTTTATTAATATGGCAATTCAAGAATTCTTTTTTGTAGGAGTTTATCAGTCAACGTGATAGGAACTAAATAGCTCAATAAGTAGAGTAATGTCTCAGTTGTTATCCTGAAAATTTGCATGCCACATCAGTTCTTTTAAATCAAATATGTGGTGCAGTTTAATTTATATTACAATGACTCATTCATACAAAAAGTAAATTAGTAAAGTTAATGACATAAAATGGTAAAATCCCTTCAGTTAGCAAAATCCCATTTTATGTCATTAACTTTACTAATTTACTTTTTGTATGAATGAGTCATTGTAATATAAATTAAACTGCACCACATATTTAATTTATATATATGCAAGGTAAATCAAAAACAGCTTCTTAAAATGGGTAGGCAAATTTATGAGATGAATATCAGTGAATGAAAATTTAATACTTTATTTTTTTTTACAAAAACAGAGATTGCATTCATGTTTTAAATGTTTAAAATCTCTTCTCCCAATGTCTGCCATTCAGTTGACTTATCAACATACATAATTCTAACAATATGTTTTGGAAGGCTTATGGCCATATCACATTGAAATGCCAGTTCTTGTACGATCACTGAAATTAAGCAACATCAAGCCTGGTCAGTACCTAGATGAGTGATCGCTTAGGAATACAAGATGCTGTAAGCTTGTATATGTGAGTAATTTAATGGATAATGGGTTTGGATTGGAAATCAGAGAGCTGAGTTCCAATTCCTGTCAGGTTCTTTATATTCCCCTACATACAAATAAAGATATAAATCCACCTCTTTTCCACCATGCTATGGGTTAATTTGTAGGACTTGTATCAGTAAATCATTATCTCAAAAAATTTTTACAATATAAATATTTTCTGGCTTTAAATAACCTGCAAAAGTTTGGAAACATGTAAAAAGTAAATCATTCAATGAATCAGTCTTGGCGTAACCAAACCAATGATAATTTGGCAATGCAGGTATTGTACCTGTTAACTTGTAAAATCTGTGAAAATTGTCAAACACTACAAGTGATACATATCAATTGATAAATAGGTTTTGCAACTGAAACAGCTCACCTGATTCTTTTGTGTTCCATGACCAGTCTTGTGCGGTGTGAAAATGGACAAAGTTTGTGGCAATATAATCGAAGCTGACCAGGTGGTAATTCAGGAAATCTTGAAGCTTCAAACATAGAAATAAATTTTTTTTCAATGTTGATATAGGACAACGATAATTTGTTTCTTGTGAAAAGTAAAATAATAGAAAAATAATAATCATCATAGGACTTCTGTGTTTAGACACTGAGAATTCTTTCAATCTATAATGCAAAAGTGATTAAATATGTCATAAAGAACTGTTTGAACTACTAGGTAAGCTTGATTTATTTGGAAAAGATATTAGAATAATCCAGAACTTATACTGGCAGCAAACTGCCTATAAATGTTTTTTTTTTTTTCACATAATGTTAGTATGGGATTGTATAATTTTTTAGTTGCTGTGTACATTTTTTTATCCTCAATTTTTGTTCTAATGAGAGAAGACCAATAAACTTGAATGTTTTGGAATCAGTGTACATTAAGTCCTACCAGCCATCTCTCTGTAAGCAGGAGTGGTTGGTGGGCTTAAAGGTAATTAACTTTTAATCTTGTATTTTTTTCTGCATATAACATTAGTCTGGGGTTGTATAATTTTTTAGTCGCTATGCATATTTTTTTGTCTATGATTTTTGCTCTGCTGAGAGATTGATTGATTGATTCATTTTCTACAGCTTATCAACCCATTGCAGGTTATTTAAAGCCAGAAATCTTTTATCTTTAAAATTTAAGAATACTTTTTTTGAGATAATAATTATTTAGTGATACAAATCTTACTAATTAGCCTATAGTGGATTATATCTATTAGTGGATTCATATCTTTTTCAAGGGTATTTGCATGTAAATGAATATAACGACCCCAACTGGATTTGAAACTCAGCTTTCTGATTAACAATTCCAAGCCATTATCCATTACACCACCCGAACATCCAAGCTTACAGCACCTGATATTCCCAAGTGGTCACCTATATAGGTATCGACAAACTCAACAAACATTGCTTAACTTCAGTGATCATACAATAACTGGTGTTTCAATGTAATGTGACTGTAAGCCTCTGATGAGAGAGGTTCAATAAACCAGTTTAGCTATTATTTTAATCATATAGGTACCTCCATTGATTCATTAAAAAATTAGCATACCATGATGAAAATAATGCCCCAAACTGAATAAAAACAAAGTTTTATCATCAAAATCTTTATGTTATTATTAAAGAGGAAAGATCAAAGGATTTTTTGATTACTAAATTATATTTTTTGATCCTTTTTAGAACGTTCAAAATTTTGTTTTCCTTGTGTAAACAGAGGGTCCAAGGCTTGGTACAGGAAATTTTAATGTCTTCTTTTTTGCAGTGAAAAACACATTGATTTAGAAATTCTTGCAAAAATCAAATAATTGTCAGATTTTAATGAAACTCTCAGTATTTATTCACAAATGAATTAAATTATTTTAGAAAGTTTATTTCATTGGTAATCCTGGTAAAAACATTTCTTTTTACATATGTGAAACTCCCACCATCACCACTTATTTAATTTTATGAAATTTTGCAAAATTAAATTTTGTAGCATTTAACATCTATATTAGTAATATAAAGAACTGCCTGGAGAATTTAAATCATCAATTTTTTTTGTAAAACAGCACCCCCAGTTACCAAAAATCTGCTCTGAATCATAAAATAAAAAATTCAATATAACTAAGACATTATGTAATTAAAAAAGCTTTTAATAGCTTTTATGAATAAAATATATTATGGAAACTATTGTCTTAAGAAAAAAGATTTTTTTGATGAATCATGAAATTTTACAAGAATTGTTTTCAATTTTTTTAAATTTTAATTAGAAGAATTTATAAAGTCTTAAATTTTTAAAATTACATATTAGTTTGTAGTCGTTAACTGATATTGTTATTAAATAAAAAATAAATTTACTAATCATAAACGGAAAAACTTACTAAGATTCATCGGCATCCAGTATTTTAAAAAGAATTTTGAATTTTTGGGTGGGATGTATAAACATGCTGATTTTTATAAGTACAGACGTCTTCACATGATATTATCAGAAAATAAAAGTGATAACTATAGTAAATTTAAAGCAAAATTACCTAAGATTCAATAAAACATTAGATTATGGAGAATATTTTCCTAAATTATTAAGATCACTGGGTAGTTAAAAATTATATAAAAAAGGTGCTTATATTATATTTCTCAAGTAATGTTTATAGATATATCTCTGAAAATTTTTCTTGATCGAACATATCTGCTCACAAAATGCATCTTAATGTAAACAATGACAATATACAATGAAATGGACTAAGTCCAACAATTATTTAATATACTGTTTATACATTATTTTAATAGATACAAACATAACCCAAGCCTTGTGAGTGAAATTGGGTAGACAGAACTCTTGAGGGTCGTCGATAGCTGTGCTAGCACAAATCCACAAGTCAGGGCTTGAGCGTGCTGGCCTTGTTGATTATGCTAGATAACATGCTCTCTCCCAGAAACTGTAACTAAGATCTGCTCAGCATAGTTGCAGTATAAACCACAGGTAGGCTCTGTGGGTGTTGAACAAACACAAATGTGTCTGAGCGAGAGTCTGCAATAGGGAATGGTTAACTGCTCTAGTAGACAGGTATCCTTGAATATGAGTGGTCAGCTATATATATATATATATATATATATATATATATATATATATATATTGTTATGGTCCAGGTCAGGTTAGGACCAAGGAAGAACAACACCAACACAAGAGTAGGAATAACAAAGATATATTACACGAAATAATAATACAAGATGTGGAAGGGGTCAGTATGACTGTCAGTCTGGTTTGGAGTGAACTACTATCGGCTTGACTCGATTCGACCTTCTCTCTTGAGAGGTGTAGTATACATTGTGTTAGGAAGAGTTCATTCTGTACTTATAGGTAAGGACCCATGACACACACACACACACACATATATATATATATATATATATACTAATATAAGTAACTATACTTGTTTCGGAAAACCCTCGAATATTTGATTTGCCAATAATCAAGTCACTCTCGAGGGGAAAAAAGGTTTTAAAAAAATAAAGAGCTAGAAACATCTGCTTAGGTGAAACCTGGGTAGGTTTGTCTGGCTCACTAGGTATATATATATATATATATGTGTGTGTGTGTGTGTAATTTATATAGTGCATTATAGATTACTTGTATCATCTTATACAAACATGAAATTATAATTATTATTTACATTATCTGCAGTCGGAAATGTTCTCAACGTTGTTGTCATGACCACAACATTTCGGCTGTTACGAACTCCAGCCATCTTCACATGTGTCTGTTGACCCAAGTAACATTCAAAGTATTTTCAAACTAAACCATTTATTCATTCTACAGAGGTTTAAGGCTCCAAAATCTAGATTCAAAATTGTCCCATGCTTAGGTTATTGAATTTAGTAGCATAGTAATTGTGAGTTCAGTACCTTGCCTGGGTAGTATGGATACTCAGGCTCATTGGAAACAGGACTAAAAATAACGGTGCAGTACTAAGAAGACAACCAAGACGAGATATAACTAGACATGAACAGTGGAATGAGAACAGCCTACTCCATAGATTGAATGAAGGGCTTAGTTTTAAATTCCTTGAAGTTTACCAGGATCGACAAACACCTGAAGAAGGCAGCAGGACACAGGACAGTCTGAATATAAATAATGTAAATAATGATAATTCCTCATTCTAGAAACTCAGGAATTAAATTATAAGCATGTATATGTTTGTACATTTTAAAATACATATAATCCATATCTTAGAAGTAAACATAAAACACTTCGTACTTCTTGATCCTTGGACCTACATTGTTTCTTATTTTCATTAACGACCTTCCAGGTGACATCAGTTCCTGCCTTGGTATTTATTCTGACGACACAAATATTTACTGTATTAATAGGAAGTCTGATGCAGTAACCACCAATCAGTTGTTAACTGGGGCAAGAAATGGATTGTAAATTTTAACACTTCCAAAATGAAACTGTTATCTTTTATCATTTAGTTATCATAGAGAACTATTTTTTCCTTCCATCAGTATGGCTGATGCTAAGCTCTGGAAGAGCAGTTCTTTGCACCTTCTGTGTCTCATGTTTGACATGAAGTGGAATTATATTGAATCAATTGGTAAGGTGATTCACTGTGTTGTATCAGACAATTCTTCTTGCGAGAGTCCTTCTTTCACATTCATAAATCTACCACTCGTCCATGCATTGAATATTCCTGCCATATTTGATCTGATGTCCCTACTATATGTCATGAGATCTTCAGTGAATTTACTCTACAATGCAATTTATTTCTGAGACATATATAGAATAGGGAAATAGAGTATACAGAAATATATTGACTGTCTTTGAAAAAAACATTACTTACAAGAATGGTATTCTCCTTCAGCAGTTGACATTGTCAGTGGTGTTTCCAATCCATCGGCCCCTGAATAATCTAACATTTCAGAATTTTTCTTGGTTTTTCTCTCCATGGAATTGGAGGGGAGATGGTAAAGGTGATCCTGTGCAAAGTAAAAGAGAAATGATTCCAGTTGATTTACTCATGATGCAAGTGATTAAAACCGAAATTTGAAAACCAAGATTCTTTTTATAGAAATTTTTTTAATCATAATCTTTATTGATCAGGGAACTTCGACATGGTATGATGGTTAGCCAGCTTGTCTTGCTAAATCACTTACAACTGAAAAGCGAGTTTGATCTTCACTGGGTGCCCCATACTTTCGGCTTTAAGCTATTCCTAGAAAATCACCATAATCATTATTGATCAAAGAAGGTGTTTCTCCAAAATTCTGAGAATTTGACCATTTAAAAATAAAAATAAGTAATACAATTAACTCTGAAAGTCATTTTTTACTAATTCCTTCAAAGAAGTTCACTTATGAGGAAGTTCACTACTTAAATTAATTGGTCCACTTGTGAAAAACTGGGAAAAATTGGTGTGTGTGTGTGTGTGGGGGGGATAATTTTTATAGATTAGCATTCATTAGACTTTCTTTATCCTACAATATTTGTCAGAATCAAAACATATAGATTTTTATCATTTTAGAAGGAGGAGAGTCCTATTCATAATAAAAATAGTGTCAAATTGATCACTTGCTTCATAAAGAGTTATCTGTACTTTATTGTTATTTACAAGTGTCAAGTTTGAAACTGGGCTTATATCACTGATAACTGCATTGCCCATTTTTCCAGTTTTTATTTGTATGCTGTTATCAATTTATAATATGAACAGCCCCCCCCCTCAACACACACACACCAACTTCTAAAATGACCAAATAAAAATTATATATTTTTAGATTCTAACAAATGTTGTGGGTAGACAAAAGTCTAATGAATGTTAATCTAAAAAAATTGTTAAAAAAAATTTTCTCTGTTTTTATGAGTGGACCAGTTAATTTAAGTAGTGCCTTAGCCAGCTCACAAAGGCTAATACCAAAGTCTTATTTGCTGTTCATATTATTTGAACTTTAAGATAACACTTTTTATACTATATTTGATAGCATATGGCAATGCCAATGATAATAGCCATTTCCCTACAAGGAAACATTTGAAATTCATTGCTCAAGTAAAATCTTTTTATGAAAACAATTTTTTAGGAAAACAGGTTTCTCAAGTCCAGTAGTTGTTATCACTCTTTCCAGTATTGATGGGGTCTTTTTTCCTAACTTTTTGTTTGAAGTAGTGTGGAATGTAAAGAACTACACTCCTTCAAAAAATTATTAGAATTTCATAAATTTGTAATAAATGCACAAAAAGAAATTTGTTTTAAACTGGACCAAACCAGGAACATGGATAAAATTTCAGTAACATCTAATGTACAATTGAATAATTTTTTTATTGATATTTTCTGCTGAAATGGAGAATGGGCTTTTTAAAACAATAAACATCGCCAAGGAGTAAAGGTAGTTAAAATAATGGCAGTATCAATGGTAATTTTCTTACACAAATCTCATTTAAATTATGGTTTAGAAAAAGTTAAAGATAAACAGGCTAGTATAATGTAAATGCTCTTTTCTTTAATTCAACTATATATTAGGATGTTTGGAAAGTAATTATATATTTCACTCCAGAGACCTACAAATTAACTAACCAACCAATACAGAACCCATTTTGCATAGTAGGAAACTGCATCTAGAATTAGTTTATTATTGCTTCTATGGGACAGTATGTTATTTTTACAATACATTCAGTCAGCTAATTTCAAGGGTATTAGCACATAAGTGAATGTAATGGATTCGATTGGAATTTGAACTCGGCTCTGCGATTCCTCAATCTGAGCCGCTATCCATTACTCCACCATGCCTCCTCTTCTTATAATGCATAACCAAGTTTAATTGAGAAAACTTGCAAAGAGGGAATTTGGGTTCCATAATGAGCTTTTGCTTGTGAATTGAACACAATAATCAATGATTTGCAACAATCCTTTAACTAGGAAAACCAACCATTTAATTTTGCATTGCATTGTTACTGGTTATGAAAAATGTGAACAGAAAATGAAAATGACAGTGGTCATCACAAAATGAGAAACCATTGCCAAACATGAAAACCAAGACGCCATCTACAGGAGTCTCTGTTTTGTGCCTGGTGGAATGTAAAATTATTAAATTTTGTTGGTTGTTGTGCTAACTTGATCATCATTTAATTTATTCTTTTTATATTGGAAAATGGAAGTATTGAAATGTTTCTTTATTTAGAACTTATCTCCAGGAATCAGTTGTTTCAACAATGGCATTCTGATGACAAATTAAACTGCAATTTTTCAAAATCTTTTTTTATGTTTGAATTCTAGAGAAAGCCATAATATATTTGAACTCACCTGAAGGTACGTTGTTCTGCGTTGGCTTGATGGGCAATCCAAGGAAATGGCACGTTGAGAAATAGAGCCATTTTCTTGATAAGATGAAGGTAAGTACTTTATATGAAAAGTCGGTGCTTTTTTCTGGAAAAAAAAATACAGATGTATTCACAACTTTTTATTATTATTACTTTTGGCATTAAACACATTGATTGGAGATTAAATGATGGCCATCATTGGAGATTAAATGATGGCAAGTTTAGCCAAAATCATCAACACTTTCTTTCATATCCTTGTTTGAAGCTAATGCAGCCATTCTCTGGATAGTCTCAATCTTTTTCAAATTCACCAGCACTGTTTTGGGTATGACTTCATTTTCACAGATTATGACAGGCATGACCATAAATTTTATGTTCCAGTTTTTTAAGTCAGGCTTTGATAATTTTCTTTTTTTTATTATTTTCTTTCATCCCATGTGGATGATTCCCTGAATGCTCTAATCTTGACCTCTTCAAATCAAGGGTCAATCCTTTGGATCTGCCAGGTCTAACCTCCACAGCTAGGACCTGCCATGCTACTTACATAGTATCAACCTCCCCAATTCTCTCTGTATTCCATCAATGAGAAGTAAGTTCCACTCAAACAGCTTCTTCCTGTGAACCTCTTCCCTGTGGGAAAATACCCAAAAAGATATTTCCCTGATCACTACAATCTTAACCTGTTCTAGTTCTCTTCCTCTCATATCTGTATAAACAACCACTTAATATAACCTTCTACCTCGAGTGCCCCCTGGGCCTTGTACAGAGTGAACCTTACTGAAAAAAAAAAATCATTACCGATTCTCCATATACATATGATTATCAATTTTTTTTTCCATTCATCTCAGAGACCTCATTTAGTAGCACTCTACCTGAAGTGGCTCTTAAGCTTTGTAATGGGTGAACATAAATAAATAAATCAATTTTCTAGAACTCTATCAACAATTTGGTAGATTTTGTCTTTCATATATAATTTTTAACATATATTATCTGTATGTAATACCTTTTCATACTTTTAGCTTCATTTATTAAATACTGACAGAATAGAAAATAAAATCTTGACTGAATTTTAATGTAAGTCACAAATGCATATATCTTATTACAAAAACAAAATATACACAACCTATAAATCGCAAAATTCATTAAAACATTTGACACCCTTCTTATTTGCTACATGTAGCAAACTTTCAACTATGAACATTTCTTAAACTCCTGCTGGATTCACCTTTTTCATTCAGGTCACCTACACTCACTTTTTTAATTATTAATTTTGGCATTAAACACATTCCCACATTTTGTTATTATTATCTGGTTTGTATTATTTCTTTGAAAGCTCAGTGCTATGAAGTATATTCAACTTCCTTCACTCTTGTCAGGCAATCATTCTTCTACACATCCAAGTAAAACACATTCACATCACAGAACTGAGCAATTAGTCACTCTAGTATCTTGCTAGCCATCTACATCCTGGTGATCTTGGCCTGGCCAAATCTGCTGAAATTTATTGGACTTCCATAGAAGAATGAACATGATTTTACAACTAACATCATCTAAAAAATGGTGACCACAGAAAAGAATATATGACAAGAGACATCAAGCTTTGCCACCATTTATAACAGTCAGCAAATATGGCGGTATTGCAAGATACTATTTAAAAATAATCCATTCTTTAGGTGAAGAAAAATGAGATACACTGGATCCCTGGTGTAAAACTAGTGTTAAGTTTTCCTTTTCCAAATTAGAATGGGCAAGAAAAATTTGTAACAAAAGAATTCTTCTGTAATTGTAGGAAAATTGAATAAAATCAATAATGATAAAGACTAATGAGAAATAAGAAATACATTTTCCCATGATGCTAGTAGTAAAGGAACTGAAAATATGATACCCCACTAGGCTTTGTCAAATGTCATTAGGCGGTGCTGTTCAAGTATATAAAACGGCACACATTTTCCTTCCTCATTCTCTTTCTTGCTCCAAGATGTAGCAGAACGTGCTGGGAATGTTAGTTTCTCCAGTCTGCTGATGACTGAACTGTCTTTTTACTTTCCAACACATGGTGTTTGCACGTGTCTTCTAAAACCTCCACCTTGGAAGTAAATTAACTTTCTTTGGTCATTCCAACTCAGTGCAAGGCTGACTTAAGGTCAACTATTATAACAATGCTTATTCTTACATGCCCTAAATCCTGAACCAAAAAAAGACAAATCATAACCTTGCTTGAAACTTCTAATATTATAGTAGTGTTGGCTTTTTTAGTGACATATCAACTCTTTATGGGCAATTTAATGCTGAACTTTAATTTTCTTGGGAGCATTAATAATTTCTTTTACAAAAATGTATTACTGATAATTTCACTATAAAAATGTATTTTTATACTTTCATAGTGTTTTGACTCTAGTTTGGAGGTTAACTATTTGCCCATAGTTGCAACACTAATAGGTGTTATCACCCTAAGTCAGGGTGGACCTGGGAACAACAGCAATTAAAAGGTAATTCCATGCTTCTCAAAACCTCCTAATCAGTGGCTTTGCTGCTGGATGTAGTTTATTGTCATACCCAGGATGATATGTTAAAGTAAGTACAAACTTTGCTTTCATTGTTCCAAATCTGCACAAGGTTGACTTGAGCTCAACCATTAATACAATGCTTATACTTACTGTAACTCCTGGACTAAAAAGATAATCGACATACCCAAGAGATATTGAGAATTTTGTTCCATTACATTTTATATAAAAAAAAAGAAGAGAATAAATGGTCTGTGGTAGAAACTCAAGTTTTAGTTGCTTCTTCATGCACACACCTACAATACATGAACATGTAACCATTTAAATTCCATATAACAATGTCTGTGTAAATATAAATTAAAATATAACCTGAATTTGGTTTAGGATTAATTTATATTGGAATCCATAAAAATAAGCATTCCAAGAGGTTTTAGAAGAGATTTTTCATAATGATGTTTAAATTTTTAGCAGAGATTGCTCTAAACTATAAAGTAGCAAAGAGGTTCATCTTTTTGTTATCTCTTAAAAAAACTAAGAAAAATGAGACAATGAACTGTATAAAATTAATTATAATAAGTTGATTATCAGAGATAATTAAATATAGTTAAATACCATGGAAGGGTTAGAGTCATACCTGTGATCCATTTGAAAACACAGAGGGAACAGCATGGTCCCGAAGACGAACAGTCTGGCCTGTGCGGTCAAAGCAATCCTGAGTGAAGTGGCCGGAGCACAAACAGCTATTTCCATTTGGTGTCCATGGTACACCATTTTTATAATCCTGGCGGTGCACAGCATGTAACCATTTTTCTAACTTTACAGAATTCTTCAAAGGAAAGCTAAAATAAATAAATAAAAAATTATATCTTAAAATTAACTCTAAACAAAACTGCATTTTCCCTAGTATCTGAAAGACTTAATCCTTCTAATTTTTTTAAAATGTCAACAGCTTGGGCAAGTGAATAAGAATTGAAGACATTTGCCACATCCCTAATAGATAATTTATTGTTTATTGTATTGGTTTTAAATTGTTTCTCTTATCTTTATTTTCTTCATGATGTTACATCTGCTGTACATGTGTGCCTTCCTTGAGTGCTTTTTTAAAAATCATTTCACCCCAAACAAGGCAATAAAGCTACTAAGAAACAAGGGGGTACTGAGTGTGAAAGAATATAAGGAGAAAAAACAAATAAAGAACAGGAATTAAGAAGACAGTAGATAATGATTGATATTGCATTTAAAATTTTGAAGATCAAAGTTTACTGGAAAGCAAAAATCTGGAAGAAGCAAGAAGTTTAAAAGAAGAAATTCTTAGCATAGAACTTACAGTTATATCTAGCCATTTCAACCGTAAAATGATGTGATCTTATTACCAATCTAGTATTATGCTTAAATTCATAAAGTCATGGTACCAAAGAGGACAGCTCATCAAAACAATTACCAGGAAGATATATATATAAAAGGGAAGCTATGTTATAGCAGTGGGGAAGTGACTGAAGCCAAGATGCCCAGTCAGGACCAATAACATTGCAGATTCTACTTTGGATTTTATCAAAAATATCTAAATACATTACAGAAGCACCAGACCAGATTCAATGCATAGATGAAGTGTAAGATAGATTTTGCATGACTCAATGAACAAATGTTCCTAGCAGTTGACCTTGCAATTGATTCAATATAATCTCACCACTACATATCAGTGAAAAACGTTAGCCTAAGAAGGTGCAATGAGTCACTCTCCTGGAGGTTAGCATCAGCCATGCTGATAGAAGGCAAAAATTTTTCTAAGACAGTTAAAAGAGAGCAGTTTCATTTTGAAGGGGTTAAAATTAAGAACCCATTTTCTGCCTATTTAACACCTGTGCGTCATTTTTAGATCACCTGTCAATCAAACCAATCAGACTTACCATTAAGACAGGAGTAAATAGTTGTGTCATCAGTACAGATATCAAGTTGAGAACTGATGACATTGGGAAGGTCATTGATGAAAATTAGGAACAATGTACATCCAAGAAAAGAGCCCTGGGGGAGACCCACATTAATTAAAAAATTTCACAATTTGACAAGAAAGACTGAATAAAATCAAAAATTTGTCAAGAAATAACTGTGGCAAATGCATGTCAGTACAGACACAAAAGAGACCCCGGATCACATGTAGACATGTCTGTCAAAACCTGTTACATTTTGTTTTTCCCTGTTAATGGTGGGACAGCTTGGCATTTTCAAATATGGGCTTCTCTACAACTTGTCTAGATTCGGGTTTCTGTCAGCAAAAGTAATAAGAAAACCAGCAGCCAGTGGTGTCCAAAACTTGGTGTCTTGTGAAGTTGGTTCTATGGGCATTTTGTCCCTAAAGTTACTGTGCCTTCTGAGGCAGTGTCATATTGTTACCTCACATCTCATTTCATTTCTTTGCCTATTACCCCTATAGCAGCTGGGAGAGCTATCGTTTAGGTGTTTTCCTCAACCTCAATACACCCTTGCTGTAGTTTACAACAACACTATAACTTTTTAATTTGCGAAGAAGACCAGTATGTCAAATCCTGTCAAACACCTTTGAGATATCTAAAGCAAAAGCCCAAGTTTCACCATTTTTATCTCAAGCTTGATAGACTCTTTTAGCAATAACTGTTAACACATCAGCAGTTGATCTAGAGAAGCAAAAGCCATATTGCTTGTCTGAAAGAAGACCTTGCGAAGTAAGATGTTTAATGAATTTGGAGTTGATTAGAACCTCTTGTAGTTTTCCAAAATGAGGTAGATGTTTAATAGGCTGATAGATGGATCAGACAGTTAGACAATGACTGGAACTATAGGAGAGGATTTTAAACAAACAGGTAAGCAAGAAGCAGCAAAGTATTTATTGTAGAGTTTAGAGAGAACAGGAGTTATTTCAGGAGCACATTTCTTAAGGACTATTACAAGAATATCATCAAGTCTATATTGGTGTTCTAGCTTAGAGATGATAGCAGAAAACATGGGCATTAATTGCTTAATTAATTGATATTCATATCATACAGTAGAGACTCATTTTTAAGTGTAAAGTCAGGCAAAGATAGTGTTCTTTGCTCATTCTCTGCCTATGGCCACTGACACTAAACATCATGACAAGACTTTTCTGTTGTTACAGTACTCTGCTTTATTTCAAACTGCCTGCACACCTACATCATGTGACCCATTTAGTCTACGTAAGTGGTGTTTCACGAAACATCTTTCCCCTTTTGAAAGAAGATTTTTTTTTTCTTTTTTACTTAATTGGAATGAGCAAGCGATACATGATCAAGGCATTCACTGGTGTTGGAATTTAATTTGAGAACAATATTTTACATGTTCACATTCTAGCTATTTTTACTATCCTCACTCCAACCTTTCTTTTTACTTTCAAAACCGGCTCCCAAAGCCTTGATTCTTATCAGAGATAAAAAATATATTTTCTAACGAGAGAGCCGGAAAATATAAAAAGGAATTCCACCACCATTATTCTCTTCATGGTGCCATAAATTCGGAGGGAAAGCTCACAGCTTGTTCACTCCAATCTGTTTTCATTACTTGCAAAACCAGCTCACAAAGGCTTGATTCTTATCAGAGATAAGAATGTGTTTTCTGACCAATGGAGGGGCCAGGAAATTTGTATAATGATTTTGGAGGGAAAAGTCCCCGATCATTCTGAGCCACCCAAATCTCCATAAATTTGGAGAATCTACGCCTATTTGGCAGTGAGAATTTGGCCTACTGTCTGTAAGGTCAACAATAGAAAGCACCAATCTACTTCAAAACCACTTTCAACCAAAGAACTACCCTACTAAAGGGCTGCCGAGAATGAATGTTGGCCCACAATTCAGGACCAATTGAAAGCTGCATCTCTTCACCTCTCCTTCTGCCGTGCCCACTGAATTTCTGTCATTGATCTACGAACTCACTCAACTTCAAGATTCCTATATCTACCAACATTTTTCTAATCTGCAAGAACTTTAACAAAATTCTACTCACTTAAAATACCTTTAGGCGCTCAGAGAAATATTTTGAGCAAGCCTTTTTTCTGTTATGAACATTTTCTCTTCTCTTAAAGGACATTTTCTTTTCCTTTTCTTTTACTCCTAATTGTATTTATCCCTTTACCCTTTTTTTCTGTATATGTAAATAAACACTTTCTTCTTTTATTGTTACACACTGAGCAGGAGTTTTTTCTTTCTTCGTCCGTGCCTAAAAGAGAGAGTTTTTCTGCTCTAATCTTGCTGTTTTTACTTGCGTTTTGTTGCAATTTTTTAACCTGAACCCTTTGATGCCGGAAAGCCAGGACAAATTTCCCTGCTCTGGGTAGACTAGTCTTTTGCCTTACAGGGATTATTCTGCCTTTTCATTCAATTTTCTTTTAGTCATGCTGATTGAATGTGTTTTCCTCACAGAGTCCTCTTAATAAGGTGTCTTTGGGATCCTCTCATTGTCAGTGTTTCTAGCTGACAGAGGTGTAGAACTCACCACACTGAAATGTTTTTCAGATGAATTTTGATAGTTATAATGTTAATAAGAAGTCAAAATCAAAATCAAAGAAATTGTTAAGAGTTCATGTTAAATAGTTTTGGAAAAAAGACAGTAAATATTATGGAAATGCATTTTTTTTTTAAGTGTTTCACCCCAAGCAAGGCAAGAAGCCACTAGCATGCAAGGGGTTACAGAGAGTTGGAGCGAGAGCAAATAGGAGTGATAGAGGAAAGGATGAAGAGAAGGATAGGGGATAGATCAAGGCATCTGGAGTCATCAACTGACATTACATTTGAATAGTTGGAGATTATAGTTATCAAGGAAACAGGAAAAGGGGAAGGAGTTCTACAGGCGAGAAGTGTGAGACATGAAGCTATTGGAGTAAAAGAGACGGCTACATTTAACAGTTTTGACAATGAAAGGGTGAGAGTGAGATGCCAGCCTAGTTGAACGCTTAAATTTATGAAGTCTGGGAACCAGCAAAAGCAGCTCATCAGAGCAGTTACCTTCCCCAACCCCAATATTGGCCTTGTGCCATATTTGTACATTTTCGTACAATAAGTGAATTCCATCATTCCCCGTAGAACCATTGAATAGCTTTGAAGACCTGCAGCACTTTCATGCTTTTCAAGACAGAGAGGTTTGGAGAGGACTGATAAGATATTTACAAATTTGATGAAGACGAGAAATCACACTGATTTGCAATGTGCCTTCAAGTCAAAATAGTTCTTCTTATAGAGGACCACAGCGTTCCATTGCAAAAATGCAAATTTATTATAGCTTCTATAACGTTCATTATTTTAAAAAATAGTGAATTTTTAAACGAGGAGGTACTGAAAAGATTTCGGCTAAAACTAAAATTCTGACGATTAGTGATTTGTTTTGGTCAGGATCCTCTATTTATTTTTAGTTTTGAAACTTATTTAACGCTTGAATCAACTCTGATCTAACCATCTGACAGTTTTATATTTAAATAAGAACAATATATGGACTTTTAAGGAAAACTTTAAAAAGACAAAAAGCGACGTAATGAACTCTTTTTGTTTTGAAAAGTTCCACGTTGTTTTCAGCTTGCTAACTGGCCCGAACTATTTTAGAATGAAAGACACATCTCTCATTGATTACAAAGTGTATTAATGGCACAGATAGTCGACCATAAAAGAGAAATTATGATTTAACGAATTTTAATAATAATAATAAAATGGATTTAATGCAAACGTTCTTTATTATTTTTTAAGTTTTAAAAAGAAAAAAAAATTGTATATACTACTTATGATCTTATAGACTTCTTATAAAATAGTTGCTTCTATCAAAATTAATTTTATCTATTACAACGAAAAGCGACACGAATTTGCGTAGAGAACCTACCGATGAAAAGTTATATTATTTCTTCGGGCTGACGCTGTGTCGCGTTGTGTACAACCAGGAGCACAACAAGAACGAACCATACCCGCTCATGCCACATGTAATATGGCGGCTTAGTCAATCGGAATTATCTCCCTTTAACAAGATGACGTAACGTAACAGTTACGAGCAAGGAAAACGGAATCGGCATAACAAGTTGCAATTTCTATTTATTTTCACATACCTTCAATCTGTACTGTTTACTAATGAGCATAGAATAAATATCTGGAAATATGGTAAAAAAACAAACAATAGAAATAAGATAAATACTAATGAAAAATTAATAATAACTAAAAAAACAAGGCTTCATCTATTGAATCATTGTGTGTGAGTGACTTACATATGCTCATGCCACTTAATGCACACACACACACACACACACACAAACACAAAATTTTGAGCTTGAAACAAGACATTGGAATAATACATTCTCCTCTGACTCAGTCTGGACAGACCATACCCTGGACTAAGCAATAAAATCTTAACTATGGAGAATAGGAAAAAAACCAAAAAAAAACAATCTCAACTTTTAAATGCTAAAAAATCAGATAATTATATAATTTGATTGAACTTTTGGGCAATTATTTCATAACTAGCTTAAAAGCTGTCCTATTGGGTGGCATTTAAGCACGCTCCTACATAAGATTCCTGATTGGGCCTTCATCACAATAGGTAGGGAGGAGTAGATACGATAGGCAACAATAAACTATAGAAGAACTCAGAACTGATTGCTGCATTCAAATATTGCATTAATATTTAAGCTTACCTTTTAAAAGTTCAATGATAATTCTTTTGCTGCCACTTAATTTAAAGATGTACATAGGTCCTTACTTTCCATACAAACAACTATTTTTATTTCATGGGTGACTTTTGTTGGATCAGATCAAGCTTGAAATGTTTTTAATTTGTGCATGGAGTTGACCTGATTCCTAAATGGTATGATGCGTTGGGCTACAGCCTCTAGGAGTAAAGTGGAAAAAGTGTGACAGACTGATATTTGCATTTATTATATAGATAAATAGAATTACTTTTATAAATTTTATACAAATGTTTTAAGTCTGTAATTAAATTAAAATATACATATCCACGTGCAAATGTACACACACAATTTGAATGAAATTGGAATGGACATCTGAGGAAATGATTCATCAACCCAAACTTTGATGAATAATTTAAGTATTGGAACTCCACTAAGAAATAACAAATAATTATGAACAAAGTTTATAGTAAACACAACATTTTATATACCAATTTAATAGAGATTACAAAGAAAGGAAAAAAGTCCTTTTGTGTGTTTAATGTAGAAAGTTTGTATTTATTTCATGCAGTTTATAAGTGACTTACTGTGTAAATTGAAAGTTTATAGAATATAAACTCCTATATTTTATGGCCAATAAGTGAAGCACAAACAAATAAGAGATGGCTACAAATAAATCTTACTAAATTCAGTACATATAAAGACTTTTTTACAATTCTGTACAAACAGAGCTCCAAATTAAATGTGGTTTCTAGAACCTGATTGGACAGGACAAGTCATGTGATGTGCTTTCTACGATGTCCATGCAGTTGAACTCCAAATGACCTGGAAATGAGTTTGGTTACTGAGTACATTCATGTGCAAAACTCAGATAGTGATTCGTAGTCGACCCATAGCGATAAAAACAGCTTACCAGCAACAGTTAGTGACTAGATGTGAAATGGAACAGTCAGCAACTATATCTGCAATGGAATAGTCAGTGACCAGATCTTTAACACAACAGTCAGTGACTAGATCTGTAAAAGACAGCAAACCAGGCCTTGCCTCGAACAGCAGCATAGACACACATTACTACAACAATGCATCAGTGCATGATGATTTTTCTATACTGAAAAACATACAAAGGCGTGACAAAACTAAATCCTGTCTCATCTCTCTTTGTTCACTGTATTTAAAATTACTGCTATTGCACATAATTGGTCAGCAGTCACACACATGTTTTGATACCATGTGTTTCACACACACATATTGACATACATACCATTTGATTTCCTCATTTACAACAAAGCACCTTGAAACTTTGCAGACTCAGTTGTGACATATCATTTTGAACAAGTGAACTACTGGTCTATTTATGGCCATGACAAAAAAACATTGAATTTTAATATGTAAATACATGTATCTGCCTGTATAAATGTCATTGTCATAGTTAGCATGGTCTTCTTTTTTTGCGAAGGCTATTTCTTTGCATTGTTTATAATTTTGTATTATATTTGTGGGCAAATTTAACACTCAGATTTTATTTTTCCACCTAAAATCTGGGTAGACTGACCCCACAAGTTCTTTCATTGAGCAGCATGTGTTAGATTTATTGAGCAGCTGTGTATGTGACTGCTTTTAAACTACTATCAGGAATGCTGTTAAGACTGCTGTCCAGACAACATGTAGTCTGTTTTTAGATCTGACTGGATGCCTAGACAGGTTAGAACATTTTGTGTGTGGATAATTGCTGTCTGTATGTAGGTGGTCTGCATGAGAGTTTGTTTGTTACTAGGAGCTGTTGCTGTTTATGAATTATGATGACTGCAAAAATGGTATGAGTCATGTGTATGCTATTTAATGAAGTTTTATTTTGTTAAATTAGGGATAATGGCCTTACACATCTGTGTCATGAGGGCTAATTTCCCTTTCTGTCTGTCAACAACTCCTGGGAAACAGGAAAAGAATATAAGCCAGTTCTTTGAAGTAATTTTAATGTCTCCTGCTGTATTTAAACTGATTATATTTTCAAATATACTCTCAGGTGGCCCTTTGAAATAAATTTATGACTCCTTCTATATTTAAACTATATATATTCTAATAAATGTGGTATTTTAAAGGGACAAACAATTTATATTTTAAATTTGATGATTGTGCTGTTAGCAAAGTGACAGGTACTGAACTAGTTTAAATAAATGGTAATGGTAATACAGGAAAAAATGTGACATTCATTGACCAAGCAGTAAGTGTGACTATTGGTAGAAATTTATAAAATCTTTCGCTTAAAACAATTTTTCAGGAAATTCAACTTCACTGTTATTGATTTTTCTGGTGTTAAGGTATCATCAATTTACAGTTGAGCTGGTTAGATGTAACAGTAAATACTATGCTAAAAGTTTCTTTCCTTGTATTTCTCTCTTGTAGAACTCCCTTCTAGTTCTATGCTTTCCAGCCAACTTTAATCTGCAAAAATTTAAATGCAATGTCACTTGCCATCTATTGTCCTTCTGATTACTCTTTTTGCTCTCACTCATTAGTTATGCTTCTGTTTCTAATTTTTACACACCCATTGTGTCTTAGTGGCTGTACTGCCTTGCATGCAGTGAACTCGGTTAAAAAAAAGAAAGAAGTTTCTGTTCAAACCTTTTGTTTTTGGTTAAAATTTTGACTGTCATTATTTTCTATTCTAGTTACATGTGCTATCTATTTTTTTTTTTTATTGGCAGTGTTCAAGTGATGTGGTATTTGTTATTTAGTAAGGCTCTTTGATTGTGATTTCACCAGTCTTTTGGGTTGGAAAAAGATCACCTTCTTTAAGAGATAAAGGATTTATTTGCTTGAAACCATTTAAAGGCAAACAAGTTCTTGATGAAGTTACTAAGCAATTAATTATTGACCAATTGTGTAACCAATTAATTATTAAACATTTTGGTATTTCTTGATGTAGCTTAGAATTATAGGTTTCAAATCAAATGTCATAGTTTCAAATAATTTCTTTAACATGGTAATGAAGATGCCAATGATGATGAATAAGAAAAAACTATGGTTTGGAACCAAATGGAAACAGATTTTCATAATAACTTGGACACATAATGAGGAATGAGAAGCATTGTATGCAGCACATAAATGTCAGAAAGATTCAAGTTATTATAAAATGATTGTATTTTTAGCATTAGTTATTAAAAACTCTATGTGTAAGTAGCATAACAGTTACTGGAAAAAAATAGAACCATCATCATCATTATTATTAACAACACCTTCCAGGCAGCATCAGAATCACTGCTGCTACTCTATATCTCATAAAATCCTGCAACAAGTAGTACTGGATTACACAGTAGCAATAGCACTCAAAGACTGACCTGAGATAAATTTAGTATACTGGGTTTGACTGACTCATTTTGTTCACGTCATAGTAATGCCTTTTGAATGGTCTCTCTTGTATTGATTAGCAGCTTGTCTAGGAGAAAGAAAGCTTTGAATTCAAAACTCTGTAATAGGACAGACTAGCCTCTTTAGCCTTGTTAGGGCAACCAGTTTAGAAGAAGAACTCTGATTTAAAACCAGTCAACTTGAGGAGGAATGGGTCATATTTGGCTGTCATAACTGAGACAGACAGACATGGCTGCTACATACAGTGCTTCTCATTCCTCATTATGTGTCCAAGAAATTTTATCTCTTTCTTTCTGATCTTGAGCCTTCCTTTTGTTGCCATTTTCTTTAAGGTTTCCTCATTGCTTAATCACTTTGCCCATCATATTCTCAGCATCATTCTGTAGAACCACATTTCTTTTGCTTCAAGTACTCTTATTAAAAGCATCATACCGAAAACAGAATTTTCAAGAAATGTCAATCAAAGCATACTTGGATTTTTATCTTGGGATGCTTGTGAATTATATTTTGAGCAAGATTTCATCATACATGTGCATAATAAATGTTTATGGAAAGCTCTGGTTCCATACCAATTAAAGTACTTTCAAGTACTTGTAAAATTTATTAGATACTATTTCAAAGAAATATCTTGTGACCATGTTCATGATTCATCTTGATAATATTTCATCCTGCTCTTTTGATTGCTGATGTTAGATCTATGCTTAATATCCAATCACATCTTTTCACTTTTTTCTTTACTACTAAATCCATAAATTAAGAGCATAAATAATACATTATCTCTCTCTCTTTCTCTTGCTTTCACTTTTTTCTATCTCTCTCTTTCACTTCTTTCTTTCTTTCTTTCTTTCTTTCACTTTTTTCTATTTCTTTCACTTTCTCCTGCTCTTTTTTTCTCTCTATCACATTTTATCTCTCTTT